TATTTTATTTATGTTCACATCCAAATAATTATAAAGGTTTCATATTCATAAAAATAGTTGAATATCCTCCATTCTTTGTTCGTCATTAGCTGGCATCTTCTCCTCCTTCATTCTCCCTTCTTTTTCCAAGGAAAATTATTAAATTTATTTCTTCTTTTTTTCAGCGGCTCAACACTATTGAGTAATATATAGATTTAATTTTATAATTTAAAAATTAATAAGACTATCTAAATTTTTATATGAAAACTATTTTAATTATTAGATTAGATTAATACATATAAATTATATTTTTACTATGTCAACTTCAATATCATTGATCAACTTACGATCAAATTCTGTGTTAAAAATATAACAATATCATTCACTAAATATTAATTTAGCATTAATTAATAATCTTAATTAACTTTTATTATTTAAATTATTATATAACCCTAATTAAATTAATATAATCATTTATTAATTGAAAATTAACAAATTAAATTGTAATTAACCGAGTTTAACATCACTAATCAACTATATTATTGATTTTTAAAATTAATTATCATGTCTCTTTTTAAAATTATTTTCAAGATCCAAATCTAAATAAATATAAGATATTTATTTATAAAAAGTAAGTAGACATATAGTTTATAATCTTCTATTTTATATAATTATTTATAAAATATTAAGTAAAATGCCACTTTTACAGACGTATTTGACAGTATAATATATTACAGTTAATATTTTTAAAATTCTATTAATCATTGCTTTTGATAACAAATATAAGTAACAATTTAAATTCAACTATTTAACGCCATCTCTTTATTTAAAATTATTATAATTAAACATCTTATTATTCATCCCATAATATTTGTAATAAATTTTTTTTCTTCTCTTTTTTACGTGTTTTTAGGAAAGCTATTTTTTTATTCTTAGAAAAGCAGTTTTGAGTTAAATTTTTAATACGTACAAACTACTATTATTTTTAAATATAATACACCAACTTGAGATGGTGCGACAACAATATATAAAATTTTAATTGCTTTCATGATATCATTCTTCTTATTTTATAGTTACAAAATGTTTCATTTCTAATATGTCATCCTTGCCGTGTAAATTCAAGGCTTCAATATATTTGCATATTTCTTTTAAAGGTTTTTTGGGTTTTTGTTTCACTTTACCCTCGTGAGTGTCATGGCTATAACTGTAAATTACATAGGCGTAGCCAGGATTTTCCTAATGGGGGGGGTTACTCTATAGGGCGGGGCTTCGGCCCGATTTTGCACGGCCTTCGGCCGGGTTACCTTAGTCTATATATAGTCATAAAATATTTTTACAAATTTTAATAAAAAAAATAAGCCTGAAACAAATATGAAATATATTTTTATTAGTTCCTATAAAATATAATAAATTACTTGTATATACATAAATATAAAAGCATAGTAATAATTTATTCCAAATAAAAAGTAAGTAGACATATAGTTGATATATCGGTTAATGATGCTTACTACCAAGTGAATGTAAGGAAATATTCTAAATACCAACATAATTTGCTAAATAACGACCAAAATTTATTAAAATGTAATAAGACTTATTATTTAATATATTAATATGGAATCACGTGGTCGAGTCCGGCCTCCTATATATCATACTCCCAAGGATGGAACCACCAAGTTAGAATAAGAAAAAAAACATAATTATTATCGGGATTCGAACCCGTGACCATGGGATGAGTAAGCGAAGCTCTAACCGACTAGGCCATAGAGGCTTTCCAAAAATTACGATTTTATATATTTGGTAGTGCCTATCCAAATGAAAAATAACAAAATTCAAATTTGATAGATGGTACCTTAAGGTACCAAGCATCATTAACCTGATATATCTCTATTATAGAGAATTCGTTACAAAATACTAGGTAAAATTCCACTTTTACAGACATATTTGACAATTAGATAATATATTACAGTTAATAATTTAACAAATTTTATAATCAATGCTCTTGATAATAAATATAGAAACAATTTGCATTCAATTATTTAACGCTATCTATTTATTTTAAGTAAAAAATAATATTAAAATTTAATCTTCATATTATTAATCCCACAATGTCTTTAAAAGATATTTTCTGATGTCCTTATCAATACTTTATAGTTTTCTGTAAAATATATAATTCGCTATATTGGTAAAAATTACTTGATTGTCATATGATAATTGATAAAATTAGATATACTGTAAATCTATTACATATAATATTCCACTGTTTGTATTGTGCTTTAATATTTTTATTTAATTTATTATTTAATTTTATCAATAGTTTTATAATTATATTTTACTTTTATTAAGATAAATAAATTAAAATTACTCACTTTATAAAAAATTATATTTGATATATTATATTATTTAGTAATTTTATGGATCTATTATTAATAATTATAATACAATTCACTTTTGTCTTAAGACTTATCTTTGGCTTATATTCAATTTATTAAAAACATTTTTGGTTCATTTTATATATTTATAAATTTATTTTCTTAAAAATATATAATGAATAGTTTTATAAAAAATATCAACTTTTACATTCTTTCTTTCAAATTATTGTTTAAGATATATGCATACATTTTTGAGGGTCAGGGAGTGGGGGGAGGACTAAGGGGGATATTTTTTATTAGCTAAAAATGATATTTACAAAAAGTGATAAATTTCAGAAGGGTGGGATTTCCCGTTGCATTCCTCCCCCCTGGCTACGCCTATGGTAAATCAACCAGCATCCATTATTTGTGTGGCTATGTAATTTAAGATTATTATTATAGCTGCTGAGAGCATATGATTGCATATTTCAGATATGCAATAATGGTCAAGTGTAGTCGTTTTTATATTATTAAAAATGGAAGACAATCTTTTAGAAATTTAATATCTCACAATAATTTTCTCGATTACTTATCTAGCTTCCATCATGTCATATAAGAGGAAGCTCTAACTACCATATAGTTTAATTATTTGGACTGGTCGTTTATATTCTCTTCTTTAACTTGGTAAGGCCTATTAATTTTTTCTTATTAGGCCATTCTATAAAACATTGTCTAAAATGGTAACAGAGAGTTATATTGCTTCATGACTTTTTGTCAATGTAAGTTGCAAATAATTATATAGCCCTATGTGGTTTTTAAAAACCATTATCAATTGAGGCATATGTATGAATTAATTAATATTTTTTATCACTTGTAATTCTTTAGACGCAAATTTTTTTTTATATCAACCATCGAAAATATTTTTCAATGTAATAAATAGATTTTGTATTAAAAAATAGTGTTTATAGAAATGTCTTTTATTGTATTAATTATTTATATGCTAGTTTATTTTGTATGCATAATATAAAAAATGACAAAATATGAGTTTGCAAATTTTAAAAAAGTATAATATATTAATATACGCAATTGTGGGTATAAAGGGCTTAGCACCCCATATTTTTTAGTTAAGCCCCCTAAGATTGTAAAGGCTAGCGAAGCCCCTGCTTTTTTCAATCTTGCCACAATCAAATTTTCTTCAAATTGCATATCAATCTCATTTCAATTTGTCCTAAGATCAAACTATTGTTGTTAAACGACTTGATTTGAGTCAATTTTTAAACAGCTAACACAATCGCTCATTAGAAAATTATCCTCTTACTATATAGTGAAAAAAAAATGTTAGAAATGTAACGGCGTTGATAGTAAAATTAGTTTAGGCATCATTCTTGTATTTCTTTTCGCTCATTTAAATGATTTCATAGCGAGAATTGATCGTCTATATACTTCTTTTTATAGCGAGAATTGATCGTCTATACACTTCTTTTTATAGCGAGAATTGATCGTCTCTATATTTCTTTTTAGATTTTCCCATTATTTTATTTTAGCGTATTGGGTAAAACACATCGTTTTAACTTTCTTATCATCATGTCAGGTCATTATATTCCATATGAATCCAGATAAAATATATTATCGGGTAAATTTAAATCTTCTGGTCTTTCAGCCATAGATTAATAGTTTATAAAAAAATTTGGAATCTTGAGTAGTGGAGAGCCTAAATATGAATTTTGCTGCTGATAGTATACAAATAATCCTAATCTTCAATAAACTTTTTGGTAGAGTAGCTTCTTAGGCTTCTGTACAATAAATGTTTCCCTCTTTCTGCTTAGTCCAATCCACATTTGGAAGCAAGCTTAGATCAGCCAAATATATCAAATATTCACTTCAAGTTTGACGCTATTTTCTATTAAATATTAAAGTCACAATATTTTCAAACATATGATCTCTTACAAATATTAGAATATTAAAATACATATAATTTAACGAGTGCGTGATATAAAATTTAAACATATTACTATTTAATAATCAAATATATAATATTTAATTTATTAGTTCAAGAATTGACATAGTATTACTAATAGTTTATCGACTATATCACATAAGTTATTAAAAATATTATAAAAATTATTTTACGTTTCATAATTATATATAAAATGTTTTAACGAGTCGGTTCATTAAAATAAAGATAAGAAGAATAATAATATTCATTATATTTTTGTGCTACAATTTATATTTTAATATTTAAATTTAAAAAATAATTAATTAATATATAAATATAATTAAATATAATTTTAAAAATTTTAAAGATATTCAAATTTAACAATTTTGAAAAATAATTAAATTATTGACGAGGGGCTTAGTTCGGGTTAAAATAAAAAATAGCGGGGGGGGGGGGTTATATGACTACTAGTTTCCCTCGCATCACACTACTGGGATTGACATTTTTTTTAATCATGATATTCAAATATAGAAAAATGTTATTTGTGTATTTTATTAGGGTTTCTATTCTAAAGCAACTGTACATTTTTATATTTTGTTGCAACACAAAATTAATTATATAGGCAGACCCATTTTATTAAGTGTCAATAATCTATCTGAGGTTAAATGATGTCAATCTTTAAATTTTAGAAACATCGAATTTTTTACCAATTTCGATTATTTTTGAATCAATGGCAAAGATATTTCAACTTGTAAATATTTTATTACAGAAAGTAAACTATATATATAATAGATACATTCAAACAAATATCAAGAGGCAATTGATTATGTTAAGAGTAGTGTTTATTATAATGACAAAAAAAAAGTAAGATATAATCTAACTATAATTTGATTGTTTAATTAGAAGATGGATATAACAAAAATTCTGGCTTATTGTTTTTTTTGTAATCAAGACTATATTGATTCCGGAATATTATATGGAAGATTAAGAAAAACATCATTAAAATATAACCTCAATGATTATTGCAAAAATTTATATTTTGAGTCTTTATCCTATTATAAAATAGGGGAATTAAATAAAGCAGAACGAGTTTTGTATATGGGACTTTCTTCTAAATTAGATTCAAACAACCTATATTATGTGAAAGTAATCATTATTTTTTGTAGATTATTTTAAATATTTTATAAAGTCAGAATAGTGCATTTATTGTTAATTTATACCTATTATCCAAAAATAAGATTCATGCACCATCTTTATTTGGTAGGTCTGATTGTGATATCTAATTTTAATAATGTATAAAAGAGTTAATTTTCTAAATCATTAATAAGTTTCTCTTGTAGAGGTCTGCAAATCTCAAATGGGTTGAATCAGATTGGGAAATTTTGATTTTTTTTGGTCTGAGTTGGCTTAGAATAAAAAAAAGGGTTTAAAAATACTTTTATAATTTTAAATTAAATCATGCTTTTCTACAATTTTTTTTATCATTTCTTATATCATATTAAAAAACAAATATTATGGTAAAATTTTTTTAAATTATTGAGTTGGGTGGAAATGTGGAATATTGATTTTTTTGGTGTTTTTTTAAATTATGGTGTTGCTTGATCAAAAAAAATTTTCTTCCTAGAGGTTTTATCAAATGATTGCTGAAATCATTCCTTTATAAAAAGGATAATAAATTTTATTATTATATTATAAATTCCTTTAATGTTTTTGCTCTTAATTTTCTAGGGTCATTAGCAAAATACATTTTTTAATGTAACATAACAAAAGTGGGAAAATTGTGAGTAAACGTTGTATTTAATATTTAAGAATAAAATAAATTTGAAGTTTTTCCATTTATTTTTTATTTGTTCCACAGGTCAACATGACATATTAGCTTGCCAGGCAAAGAGTTTTTAGGCTAAGTAGGGCAAATTGGGAAGAATATTTTTGCAGACCAGAAGTTTGCAAATTTTTTTAAAGCTTACAATTAAGCAAATTTATGGTATTAAGCAACTATGCAGAAATATTCTACTAACCAGGCAAGCTGGTTCTAAAAACCTTTCAAAAAATTTAAGTTTCAGGCTGGACCAGCTTATTTAGAGATCTTCCCTATCTGCTTTTACAATTAGATAAATCTCAAACTATGTTTTTCTTGAGTGTATTAATGATGAAAATGATAGTCATGACTGTGAAGATAAATAAATGATATAATAGTAACAATAAAAATAATTAAATACATTAAACCAAATGTTATCTGTAGAGTTTTAAAAAAAGCTATCGCCAAAATCAGTGTTGTTAAACCGTTTTCAAATGAGTAGGGCACTATTAGCTACTTTTATACAAAAGTATACTTTTTACGCTATTTTGATTTTTTTAAAATATATTTTTTACATGACTTCATTTCCACAAATAAAATCCCCAAGTCTAGAGCGACGATCAGAAAGTATAAGCTTTGCCATACTAAATAATCATTCAGCACTAGCACTTGAGGGCAACGCAGTATGAAATTTAATAAACACACTTTATATGAAAAAAATCATCAAAAATATTTAAATGAGTATTTTTAGATTTAAAAAAAAGCATATAGAGGTTCAATAATATTATTATTTATTTCAAAAAAATCGTATATGGAAGGCCGCGGTTTCAATCTTGCTATAGTATTAGTATCGTGGTTAGGCATGGCATTTTTTAACGTTACCATCAGCCTATCAAGTTGCCATTTAGATTCAGTCAAATTAATGTATGGCCAGTTTAACTTGAAACTAGATGAACGATAGCAGCTATTACATTATCATCATCATACAGATCTGGAAATCTAATTTATATAAAGCGATTGTATTTATTATAAAAAAAGAAGAATACCTTTTTAATTTTCAAAATTTAAATTTATCTGAGATTTAAATTCATTTATAAAAAATTATTAAAATAGCATTGAATTATGGTAAATAAAGATTTTAAAAATATAATTATTATACACAAGGTAATAATAATATATTAATTTTGAATTTTATATTAATACTATATATTAATATTATAGATTGTGTTGTAAATTAAGCCAATTTAAATTATGGCTTATCAAGCAATAAATCATTCATTTTATATAATTGTATAATATAAAATAAAGATAAAGTTTTGACCTTTTCTCAATGCCTTTTAGCATAGACTCTACCAGTGGTTGGCAAAATTTTAGATTATTGATTCTTTTGAGCTTGGTAGTTAATATACTCAGTGTGGAAACATAATATCCCATCCTCATATTATCTTGCCCTTCCAAGATTTTAAGTGAGGCAGCAACATATTGCATAACCTAAAAAATTAAAATGGTTAAATATAATATAAAATTATTTATTAATTAAAAATACTTCAGTATATTCTTTAATAAAAGTATGCTCCTCCACATTAAAATACTGTATTCCTATTTGATCCAATATATAATTCATTTCCATTTTTTTCTCATCTAGAAACAATGCTAAAAGTTTTATAGCATTGTAAACACTATTCCATCTTGTAGTGTTTGGTGTCAATAAATGTACTAATTTTTTTTTGAAAATATCAGACATCTTAGATGACTTATTTTGTTTATTCCAAAGAGCTTGGCATTTAGAAAATGCAGATCTTGATACTCTTAAAATCTTCATTTAAGCATCCACTGTCGCAACTAAATTTAGGTTGTGGCAGGAACAACGATGGTGGCTAGGTAACATAGAAGAGTTTATTGAGGATCCTATAATATTATAAATTTTATTTTATATTGCTGAAAAATTAAATATAAAATAATTTAAAACCAAGGATGTCATGAACATCAATTATCTCAAACTCCATTATTTCATCATAATCTTCCTTTAATTGTTACCCATCTTCAATATTATTGTCATGAATATTACAAGTATTGTTATTATCTTCCCCAAAGACTATATATAGACTAAGGTAACCTGGCCTCTATATTTATATCATATTATAAAAAAATTATAATAAATTTAAATCCTGTATTTGCTAGAGTGTCATAAGTCTGACAGCCAATTATTCTTTTTAGAGCTAATGCTGCAGATTTTCGTTTTAGATTTTGGATCAATCCAATGTGTGGCCACTCCTAAATAAGCTCTAAAAATATGAATATCATATTATAAATCAGAAAATAAACATTTTTACCTTCTATTGTGCATCCAGCAATCTGCTGTTGTACAGATGTAGGAGACAACTGATAGATTTAATATTAAAGATTCTTTCATTTCTTTAAAGCTATCCAAAATTCTTGCCATCAATGTCTGCTGGCAAAATATCTTGGTATGTGGAGAAAAAGTGTTTATCCTCTTTATAAAAGAACCATTATCCACCAAGGATATGGTTGAACAGTATCTATTATAAAGTTCATTATGACTTTGTCAGCCAATTTTTGAGATACACCTGGTGTAGATGAATCCAAATTGCTTAATTTTCTTTGAATTAAATTTGATTTGGAAGTGGATGTATCTTCTTCCATTACCCCAAAACTTTTGAGATATTTTTCAATCTCTTTATAATTTGAGGTGTGAACAGTCTAAAATTATAACAGTAATACTTAGAATAAAAATTATGTAGGAGATAAGTACATAAAAATGATTAAAATAACTATTTTAAAATGTTTTAAATAATTTAGATATAATTTTTGAATATATAAAAAAAATGATTGGTCTTTGATTTAAATTTATTTAAAAAATTAAGGATTAGCCTACACATTGATATTAAATTTGTTTAATATATTACCTTTAAATGTTTTTTCAAATTAAAGCCTGTATGATTTGAGGATAAAATTTTGCAACACATCTTGCATCGAAACCGATATCCAGTAGTAATTTTTTCTTCAAGATAAAAGTATTTTTTGAATTTTCGGAAAGGATAATTTATATTTTTCTCATTTTTCAAGAAATTTTGCTATCTTCAACAATCTCACACATTTTTAATAACTAGATTTATAATGAATTTCGATTTCAAAATTAAATTAAATAAAAGGATTATAATTTTAGATGTATATTATGTAAAATTGAAAGTAGCGAAGTAGTAAATTAGTAGCGAGCTACCGCTATCGCTATTTTCTAAAAAAAGTAGCTCACTAAAGCTACCGCTACCAACACTGGCCAAGATTACTTAACTCTACCTCCAATTTCAAATTATTTGTTTTTGAAATTTTCAGATAGGCCAAAATCATGGGATATGATGAATATAATTAGGATGGCAGTTAGCTGTTCTATGCCCCATCAGTTTAAATTTTTTAGAAAATTAATCCTCCATATTTGATAGAGATAGAATTAAAATATAGAGGAATGTATGAAAATTTTATTCCTATCAATCATTTTATGTAAGCTACATAAACAACGTGTTCAAGGAAAGAGATAATGATTGGTTTAAAAAACATAATGAGTTAATTTCGAGTATTCATTATTTTTATTTTGACATTTGTCAATATCAACTAAATTTGATTTAACATTTTTTGGAAAAAAAAATATGTATGAGGTTTCAAATTTAGGATTTACCTAAAAACCAAAATAGTAAAATTTACTCCTGGCCTCAGGCCATTAACTGATAATAAATTAACAGGCCTCATGATATTTGATATTTATACCCTCATAAGACAGACTAATTATTGAATTAGTTGCTGCATATTTTGTATATCAGTCCCTTGACCAAATATATGTCAATTAAGAAGAGCATGTTATGTATATGTAATTATGATGTCACATCCAGTTCAGTGACCTATTGCTGATCATACGATTTGGTAATGCTTCCAACCATTCAACCTTAATTACAATATGAATTTTGTAATAGTTGAATAAATTTCCAATGGGGATTTTGATAAGTGATTTATAAATTTTTTTAATTATAGAGTAAAAATTAATTGACGTGTGTTAAGATCAGGGTATGGAATCAGGATCAAAAGGTATAACTTAAAAAACAATTGGATAGTTTATTTAGTATTTTGAAATTGGCTCAAGTCCCTCTTGATGAATTTTATAAAAATGCATATAAAGAAGAACACGCAATTAATTTATTTTATTCCCTATTTTAATGGTATGTGATAAATTTAAATTTAAGCAATAACTTTGATAATTCAATGATGTTTATCTATTTATTACGAAATATGATATGAAAATCAAATGATAGCTCTATGAGTTAATAACCTGTCTAAAGTTCTACCTAAATGACTTGGAAGGTTGCGAAAATTATCTGAAACGCTTAGTATCAATCAATTATCCTTCTCAAGGCGAGTCTAAGGATGAATTTAATGTCATGATTCCCGAACTAAAATACGCCATTATGGGTTGTGTCTTTTATCAAGTATACTTTTTTTTTATTTAGGAACCATAATATTTCAAAACTGAAATTTCTAGAGGTGTACCGATACCACTTTTTGAAATCCGATATTCCCGATATTAAATTGATATCGGCCGATTACCGATCCGATATCATATCTAATTTTGTATTCTGTAAAGATGCCAGTAGTTTTAATTTTTAATATAATTTTTATTAGTATAACATCTAACTATACCATAACTTATGTCATTTAAATATATTATAATGATGAGTTATAGTTTATATTCAATTCAATTGCAATTCTAAAAGGATATAAAATATTTTTATTGTTAAATTACTTTTATATAATAAGTAATAACATCAATCTATATACATAATAAGTAAATATATTATGAAATTTGTAATAAATATTTAAAATAATATTTAACATTAATATATCGAAGATTTCTTTTTAGAAATACCAAAATTTCCAATTTATCAGAGGTCAGCCTGCGACGATAGCAACTCAGACTGTCAGTATCACCAGCTTCACTAAAAACAGATTCGGAAAAGATTATCGCACACTTTTATAAACAGAATGCGCAAAAAATAACAATATGGCAGAATGTTAATTAATTAATTAATATTATTAAAAAAATAAACATAAAAATGGATTTCGATTTTATTTATAAAAATAAATGATTTTATATATAACCTTTTTTAAAAATTTTATAATATTTTATTTTTACGCCATTTTTTATCGGATCGGAAAATTTTATAATATTGGCTGATAACTGATATTTTAAAATGTGTAAAATATCGGCTCGATCCGATCCGGTAAAAATATCGGTACATTCCTAGAAATTTCATAATCATTCATTTATAGAAAAAAAATAAAATTAAACTGTAGAATGGTAACCTCTAAGAGGTAACCATAAATGAACTGCAGTTCACGTATAAGGAAGCTTAAATTATTTTTTATGCATCATTTAAATGATTTATTAATTGAATTATTTGTTCCAGTAGAGTTCTGCACGACTAACTCAGATTTGTCGGATTTTAACTGATATGTTCTCGCCTCACTCAAATAAATTAGTTGGGCCGGGCACGGATCTTGTGCTCTAAATTTGAGCCCTGTAAATAAAGGATCAGATCCAAAATTAAATTATCTGTCATATGGAGTTAGGGCAGATACCTGCATTAAGTAGATTTAACTTAACCCCCCCCCCCATCAATGGGGTTTGAAAAAATTATTTACACATTTAGCTATTTATTTTACAAAATTGCTTTAACCTGCCCGTCCTCTCACATTTTCATTAATTTTATTTATACTTGTGCTTTCTTACGAAAATTATAGAAATCTAAATACCGCAAGGCGTTGGAGTGTTTCAAGAAAATTTTGAAGAATTTGAAAAAACAACGTTCTTCCCCTTCTAAACCTGGTAAATATTCATTGACATCCAGTCATTCGTCAACTCATTCAAACCCATTTTTCAATTATACTGGATTAGATGTACCATGTAACTAAAACATTTACTTTTTTAAAATATATTTATAACCAGGGACCTCAATACTTTGTATTTAGTCCTGATAAAATATTTTACCTGTTGAACTTGAATTTGAACATTCTGCCATTATGAGATTAGTTTTTTTTCTTTAAAAAATCAATAACTAATTTAGAAGTATTTTTAAGATTATTTTTTTTTATAAAACATGTAAACATCGAAATATCGAGGATTTAATTTTCAACATAATATTTAATATATTAAAAATATGATTTAGCCATTTTGTACAACATGGCACTTTGCCATTACAATTTGACGGAGTTTGAGATGTGCAAAAAATATTCGGGGTTGATAATCAATTTAGCTCTCAATAAAAACCCAGGTTTTAAAACAAAAAAAATTTACACACCTTATCTTTCATTCCTTCATAAAAAATAAATAAATAATCAATTAATAGCTGGTTATCAATCAGATATTAATTTCTATAAAATAATTTTTCGCCTTATTTTGGCCAAAATATATTATTTATGCCTACTCGGACAATTTTTTTAATCCACTATTTGTTTATTTTTTAAAAATTTATATGAAAAATCTGAATCCCGGATCCATGTTTATATAATTTACTTAAGACCTTTATAGCCATATTTTTATTTGCATTATAATGGACACCCTTATCTTTATAAGGTATAGACAAATTAGTATTTTAGAAAAAAAAATATTATATAAATATAATTTGTTAATAAGCTAATTTTTTTACGATACAATGATTGAGAGTGTAAAACTAACAAAAATAAAGTATTAACAATATAATTTTGGTTGAGTTGTATTTTTAAATACCTTGAAAATATTTCCAAAATTAATCGGTTATGTTTTTTCCATGCCCTAAAAACCAAGTTACCCTTTTTTATATCACTACTCGAACGTTTATCTGATTTAAATAATTCTCCTTAACGGTGAAAAGTTGACTTAGAATTCGATGTGGATATCTAAACTGTTACAAAATATTTGAAACATTTGGAAATACATTTTTATATGGGTATAGAAATTTGACAAAATCTTATGTAACACAATCTTTATAATTTTCTAAACTTTTAACAAATAATTTTAACAATCTCAATTTTAATTACTAATCCCTCTTCAGTAATATTGGTTGCCAATAAAGGTTTTAATTTTTTTATGTCTAAAAAATTAAAATAGCTATCTTGTTTTAAATTTGCTAATTAGCTTATACAAAAAATTGGAAAAATCTTTTAGTTTTATGATCCTCTTCTATTATTCTGCAATTATAATGTTTATCAAGGCCTTTGTATACAAGAACATTCTTCCAGTTGGTAAAACACGTTTTGGTATAGATTTGATTCACTATTCTTTTTATAGATATTACAAGGAAGGCAAAAAACTTCATAAGATTCAATTAATTATTCAATCTATACGTTTTATAAAACTTTAAAGAAAATCTTCTTCCATTATTAGTAGTAAAAGTTTTTTTCCATCTATGAGAAAAATCTCCAGACTTACATAATATTATTTAGTTTATAATTTTGATCTAATCATTTTTTAAAAAATCGCAAATCGGGCTTTTTAACACCCTAGATGTTGGCTTATTTGTGATAGGGTAGACCAGAGCTTATCGGCACAAGTGGTTTGTGCGTTCAGCGGATTTTATTTAAAAACCAGACATGTTTGGAATTTCAAATTTAATTATGTAGTAGCATTGCATTGTATTATATATATTTGATGGGAAGAATATTTTACACCCCTCAACTATTTAGATTTTTTTATGATAAAATGTTAGATAAAAATCAAAATGTTTTACACCTCAATATTAGGTGGCATTAAAATTTGGAGAGTATAAAAATAATAAATTTGACATTATATGAAATGTAAAACCTTCTTTTCGCATTTCCGAAAGTTTAATAATCATATATCATGCTTAAATATATTTTTAAAAGGTATTAATTATATTAGTAACTAGGGACTAGTAGAATCAGGGCTAGTCAAATAAATCAAATTATGCTTACAAATAGAATATATATAATAATATAAAATAAGTATTTATTGGCCACTATTATATACTTAAATCAAATCTATATTAAAAATTTTACACATTTTTTACAATTCAAATAATGTCACATTTTCTCATTTTTATATGAATTATTTTTATCTAAATGGTATATTTATATCAATAAAACATTATCCATTAAAATAATGGAATAATAATATTAATTGTCATATGGAAGACTTAAATAATTGAATCTACAAGCCCCAGGGTTGGGGCTTTGGCGATAAAATCACTTTTATTAGAATCAATCTTGAGAAAAAAGTATAAAATAATTAAAAAATTTATCCATGTATAAGTTAGGTAGTTGTTAGGGTATTTTGTAAATTCAATTACAACAATTATTTTAGGCGGACCTATAAGAATTTTGACAAAAATTGCGTTGTCTAGATCTTGTCTACCTGTTTTAAATCAGTTGTAATATTTGCAATAAGAATAATTTTAAAATCTTACCTATCCATTTTATTTTTGCAAGCTCAGGCTCATTTCCCTTTTTGTCAATCTTGGCATCTTTATCATTTTCATTCTTCCACCAAATTAACTACATTTATATTTTCTCTTTCCTCATTACAATATGAGGTGCGTTGGCGCTATTAGGTATTTCAGTAAAAATGAATAAATACTTCTTAAACAGATAGTGGTTTAAAAACATTTGAAAAATTTTGGGGACAGTTACAAAAAATTTTTTTTGGAAGGGATAATAGAATCAGGCCTGTGCTCTACCCCCTCCCCCTTCTTACACTACCCCCCCCCCCCCCCCATATATTATTATGATAAAGCATTCCTAATAATTCCCCACCACTCTTCGACTAAGATCTCGTTGAATAAATCCTATGTTATATGTGAGAATTTCAAAAAGGGTTATTTATAAGAGTCAAATTTGATTTAAAAAAAATACTATTTTTGTTTGAAATTTTTGAGGAGGCGTTTTATTTCCAGGGTTTTTTTCATAGGGTTTTTTTCCCTAAAGTTCAGAGGCCTGCAGAGGTACCATTGGCACACCCCGGCCCGGATTTTTTATTCAAGAATTTTTATCGGCTTTGTCCGGGTTTTGTATTATTGACCTGGTCCGGCCTGGATTTTTTTAAAAAAAATTTTCAGATTTAGCCCTATCCAGGTATTTAAAAAAAGATTTCGGACCCTTAAAAAAAATTAAAATATGTGGCCCATGTACCCGATCAGGGCCTTCAGGTCTCTGATGTAAATTAAGTGTCATTTGAAAGTTCTCGATAAAATGTCGAAATACATTTCTTGGGAATGAGAGTTGAGATTTTTTAAATTTAAAAATCGCTCGTCAATAAATGACTTAAAAATGAGCCATTTTTCATATATTATTCTCTTACTTTTCTCATGTTCTGATTACATTGCATTTCATTTCATTTTGTTTTTTATTTATTATTTTCTATTCAATGTTGGAAAGAAAAATAAATCTTATTTAAATGTTTAAATAATATAAATATGTAGGAATTACTTGAGTATTTGTGAATGTTTTACAAATATATTTATGAGTAATCTGAATATTATGAATAATACCTAATTCTGGCGACAAAGTATGGAAACAGAACCTGGCCAACCCTCGGAATTGCGTTAAATTTAAGGACCGAAATCAGGACCCACTTTTCACGATTTTAGGGAACAACATTTTTTAAAAATAAATAGAACTCAAACCAGAACCCTTTTTAGTTCAGGGTCCAAACTCTGTCAGTGAGGAACATATAATTCGGATGACTTAGTAAGATCATTCTTTGATTATGTTAATAAAATTAGTTTCAAAATAAATTCAGAATTATACAAATCGATGCGAAAAATAGCAAACGTTCCTGACCTTCATTTAACAAAGTCAACGATTTTTAATGATTTAAAGAATTCTCGTCTGGTCGAGGCTACAAACATGCTGGCCCTCATTGAATATCAAATCAACTCAAACGGTATTAAATTTGATAAATATTATTAATAGAACATAAATTATTGTGGGAAATTTAAAAAATTATATCTTTATTTCAGAATTTCTTATAATGCAAAATTATATTTTATTTATTTTACATTTTAATAAGTGCTGTCAAATGTGGTTATTTTTAAACAGGTTTGTTTTTTTGAGTTTGGACCTCGAGTCCAGGAAAAATATAGGGACCAGCTCTTCTCTTAAAATTTTATAGGAACTGGAACCAGAAACCAATTTAAAATTTTACCTCAACTGGTTTTAACGAAAGTTCAACTAATTTATAGCTTTTTTAATCGCATAGTATCCATTTATCAATGTCATAGTTACTATTTTTCAAAAACATAGTGTCTTTTATCTTGCTTATTTAGATGGAATAAAGGCACAATGTTTTTGTGTGGGCGCCATCTTGGTTAAAGGATTTTAAATAAAACGATAAATTTTTATATTAGAGTCACAAATTATATATGTATATGATTCTTAAGAAAATACTAATAAAGATTTTAAATTTTTAAATTTTTTTTATATCATGTTTGTGCCCCACAGAAAGTAAAAAAAGAATTCTCACCTAAGCCAGAAACACCATCAAGTTGAGATGTCTATTACACCACCAAGAGGCTTTAAAATATTGATAATATCTTTTTTGATAAGCGAGAGATATCATTACTCGTTAGAATTGACCATTGTGTTTATGAATATTTTTTGACTAGTCGAATTAAACAATTTATAATGGATGTTGCAAAATCCAATATCAAATTCAAAACAAAGCATTTTTCTTATAGCATGAAGGCATTTTGGTTCTTTGAAATATTAAAAATTGACACACTATTAAAAGGAACATTATTCTTACAATTAAAGTCTTTCATTATTTATTCCTGCGAAGGCAATTGCTAAAGATGCTAACGCTGGAAATCACAATCACTCATTTTCAGAATGTTTATTTTCAATACCGCTAATTAAGTTCTAGGCGCAAGGTTTAACCAAGATTAAGCAAGTTATTTTTGGAAGGTTTAGGCAATATAGATCTCTTGGTACATTTCATATGCATATTTCTTTTAAATATTACAACCGATGTTTTACTCTTTTCCTTATTATTAAAAAATTTTTTCTTCTCCAAATTAAAAAAAAACATTTAAAAAAATTTTCAAAAATACTTAAAACAATGATATATTTATATATTTTTTATAAACAAACTCAACATAGAACATAAACGCGAATTTTGAAGCACTACTATTAAAATGAAGTAAATGCTCATGAGAAAGAAACCCGAAATGTTATTTCCAAATATTTACAAAAATTTGTATAAAAAGTTATAGCTTATATTATTTTTTTTGAGTGATGGATAAGTAATTTTATATTTCTTTAAAAATATGAATTATATTTTATAGAATATACCAGATTCTACCTTGGACCGGTTTGAATCTAGCCGGTTTTTAAAAAAGCCTTCATGATCGGTTCTTTTTTGAACTCATATTCTAGTGTTCTATATCTATTTTTTTTAAATTGTTCAGGAGAGCATTTTAAAAAAAATATATATCTTGTATTTTAAATAGGAGAATACAATTTAATAATGCAAATAAAGGATGTTTTTTTGTGGATATATAAGATTATAGTACAGAAAAATAATATATCAAAATAAAACATTTTGCAAAAAGGTGGATTTAGAACACTCTAAAACTCAGTCCACTCCAGCATATTTAAATGAAGAATTTATATGAATCAAATTTTATATTCATTTGTTTAAATTGAATGAAATTATTAAATAAAGTACTTTCTTAGTTATAATACAAAAAAAAAATCATCAAATGAATAAAATACTGAATACTGTCGATTAATTATATTTGTTCTATTGTTAGAGATAGTATTTAAACGCGGCTTGATTTCTGCCGATTTTAAAAACAGCTAACTTAATATTTAATCCAGAAAAATATTACGCATGCCTGAATTTTGCTCATAGATGGCAAAGGTTTGGAGTAGTGTTGTTAATTGGTTGGTTGTGTAAAACCCAGACCCGGGGTTTAGGTCTAAATAATCGACCAAACCAGCTTTGAGCACGAACCCCGAGCACAGACCCGGGGTTCAGACTCACCTATGAATTACACCTGGGGCTCGGATAAATGAAAAGTAAAAAAAAAATTTCATTTTCTAATCTTAAATTAAATCTTATTCATTCTAAATTAATAAAGCTTTTTTTTTATTCTCATTTTCTTACCATTTTTGGTGACTTTCTTTTGATCAAAAATTTTTATGGTAAAATAAAAATATCAGTAAATATTCAAAAAGAGTAACCCATGCATGACGGAAAAAAAATAAAAAAGTAAAATTTTATTTTAACACATATTGATATTGTAATTAAATGTGGACCAATATAAAAATTCAACGTCATTCATGCATGTATAAATAATAAAAAGAAATGTAAATTTATAATTTGTGATGAAATGGCCAATAAAAAGTTTTTCTTTATTATATTAAAGTTATATTCAATATTATATATGTCATAATTTTTAAAGGGATGTCTACTTTCCAGGATCCGCCACGGGTTTTAAAGGTATAACTAATAAATTTGGGTTTTAAGTAGGTGTGTACCCGATATCACTTTTTGGAGGCCTATCCGATCCGATATTCAATTGATATCGACCGATTACTGATCCGATATTCAATTGATATCGACCGATTACCGATCCGATATCATATCTAATTTTTATGTCATTTATTTAAATATATTATAATGATCAGTTATAGTTTATATTCAATTCTATTGCAATTCTAAAAGTATATAAAATATTTTTATAGTAATAAGTAACATTAATCTATATATATAATAAATAATAAACAAATATATTAATTTGAATAAATATTTTAAACAATATTTAACATTAATAAATCGAAGATTTCTTATTAGAAATACCAAAATTTACTTATTTATTAGAAATCAGTTTACGTTTACGGCGATGTTAACTGTCAAGTCAATATCACCAAATTCACTAAAAACAGATTCTTAAGAGATTATCTCGCACTTTTATAAACAGAATGCGTAAAAAAATAACAATGAATGTTTATTAATTAATTATTAATATTAAAAAAATATGTTGACGATTTTATCAAAAATAAAACCCCTTCAGATATAAAAATTTTTATTGCAAAAATAAAATAAAATTTACTATTAATTGTTATTTTTTAAAAACTTCCTGTAATTTAACTTAAATAATTATTTTTCAAAGCGTTCTTCAAACCAAATAATAACAAAACAAGATCCATATATAATTGAGGCAATTACTAGTTTTTTGATTAATATATTTCACAACCTCTTTAACTCACATACGATATGATAAATAGAAAAGGAAATTCGATCTATATCATACATATCTTTGAAGTTTGAAAAACTAATTTAATAGATAATTAGTAATTATCTGATTTCATTTTTATATTTTATTTTCTGTTTCAGTTTTAATATGGTTATTATAATTATATTATACATAATAAGAAAAGCGATGACGATGATGATGATATTTAGGAATACGAATAAAATTATAATTGAAAACAAATGTGTTTTTGAAATTTTTTTGAAAAACTTCCTTTTCTTCCGAAATCTAAAAAAATGGAAATTAATTTTCATCAAATTTATAATTATAACTGTTTCCATCGAGAATGTTGACGGAAATATTTTTATAAATTAATCAATTTTATGTTGAATTTTTTTGTAAAATAAAAATATTTTATTATATTTATAGAAACTAGAGACGCCAAGCCACTCGTTAATATCAATCACAACTTTATTTTAAATTATAAAATCATGTAGAAATATATAATTTACTTTTTTTATCACATAAGAAAATAGGGGATTTTAATTTTATTATTAAAAAGTAAAAACCCGAAAATAAAAATTATATTTTAATTAAATATATTCATACTCTAGTTGATGAAATTAAATAAATCCGGTCAGAAAGTTCGTATCTAATTCTGAACTAAGATCAGGATGGTATAGAAATAATCTATAAGCAAACCTACATAATAATTCATTTTAATTATTTCCAAGCCCTAAGTAAGTGGCCCCGATTAAAATTTTTTTAGTCATAAGCTGAGTTGCTTGCAGGATTTTCCTATTTAAGTTCGATATTATTAATAAATAATTTTTAATTAAAATATTTGAAACAACATTATTTATGGGGTTCGAGTTAATGCTGGCTTATTTCTTATATAAATATTGCTAATGTAGATCGCAGTGATTTTATTAGACCCAAACCTCGGGTTTGGGATTTACACAACCAATTAATTAAACAACACTACCCATATCGATATTTTGTGTTAATAAAAATATACCTGACCCCCCAAGACCTATACCCTCCCTGTATGAGTGAATATTATTATTACAAAAAAATATTTTTATTTCCATATCAAAAAATATTATTTTTCACCCCCTCCCACCCCCTTCCATCCACCTCCAAAACCAAGTCATACCCATCAAGATAAAAAATGAATACTTTCAATCTAAAGACATTTAGATTATATTTTACCCATATATCGATATTTTGTTTTGATAAATTATTCCTGACCCCCCCCCCCCCCAAGACCTTAGACCCGCTTTCTATCAGTGATTATTATTATTACAATAAAAAAATATTTAATTATCAACTTGTTTATTAAATCGTTACACGACACGACCACGGGTCTGAACCCCGGGTCGGCCTGAGCACATAAAAGGGTCGTACGACCAAGCAAATTAACAACACTAGTTTGGACATCTATGAGTAAAATCTTGAGCTTGGATAATAGCTAAAATATTGAGTAAGCCGTTTAACAATATAAGTTGAATATATACTCGGTTTCGGTTAAAAAATTGGATCTGGTACATGTATCCCTAATATTTTACAAATATTTAAAACTATTTTCTTCATAAATAACTTACAAATAAATAGTCATTAGCGCTTTCACCACACTTCACGAAATTTACCTTATAATCAAACAATTCCCCATTAATGGATTAGGCTTGGATCCAACCACATTGCACAATCATATCGTCATTACCTTTGATTTAATATATCACCTCAATAATTTATACACTTCAAGTATGATTAGATCCATTGTATTCGATAAAAATTTTACTCCGGAAGAAGAATTGAGGTCATTTTTATCTTTATATATATATATATATACTAGGTGCAGCAGGAGTTTCAACTAAAAACAAATATTTTTGAGTATAAACACGATTATTTTGTTTAGTTTTTAATTTTTCACGCCCCAACTAATGCGATTGGGATTGAGAATAAATTTTTCTTTTGAAGTCAATTGCTTATTTTAACAAAGTATAATAAAATCTAAACTGTTGATCATATGACAAAAAAATGCAAATTAGATGATTTGCACATTTATTTTTATAAAGATAATTATATGCTGACGCTTAACGTTGATGGCTCCATACTTAAAGAAATTTTGAGGCTTTAAAAGTCGGGCAAAGATATGAGTTAAGAAATAATCAGAGTAGGCACATTATGGATGTTTAGAATTTATAATCCAAATACATGTATCTTTTTTATATAAAGTGAAATGCTTTGCAAATCCATAGAATTAACTGATCAAAACGAAATTTATTTTGTCAATAATTATATTACATTGGAAACGTTATTGCTTAAACTCTTGCCTTCGTGCCATTCGGACAATCAAGGCTTACTCATGATACAAGGGGAAGATCTTACTGGAGGAGATGGAATAACCGGAAAAGATTCACAAAACGATAATGTTCTTGACAATATTGAAGAAAATGCGAACCCTATTAAGTTAGAAGAAGCGCAATATAATGGCAAAAATAAAGATATATACTCGGAGGCAGAAAATCACAAAGTTGAATGGTGGAGAATTTGGAAAGGAAATGATAATAAAGCGCATAACTCCGTGTTTGCTAATCTTTTACTGACTTATTGCATTTTGGAGGTTTGTTTGCTTGAAAATATTTTATATTTTTTCCTCTCCTTTTTATATTCCCTAAAAAAATTATGATTAGATTTGATAAATTTTTTCTCTTTTACCTCCCTAAAAAATAAGAAATATAATAAATTTAATAAAATCTTCTTTTAATATGATTTATTATTAAATATTATAAATACAGAAATACGATAGTGTGGCGAATTTGTTAGCTCAGCGAGTTGATTTAACTTACCAAAGCCTATCTCAAGTTATATTTTTGTGCCATACATCTAAAAAAAATCAATAATTTAATATTCGAATTTTTTTATTATACAAAAAGTTTATAAATTACCGTTTTATAATATATTTGAATTTTTTTTTATGAATTTGCTGTTTTTATTTAAGTATAGCATATTTTGTTTATTATTATTTTTCATCACTTTTGCCATTTCAAATATTTTATTAAATTCAAAATATTAGATCCTTTACGATTATTTTGACTGTACGCTTGTATTGCAAACATCTTTTTTAGAGGGTTCGAACAAAATATATGGTATATTAGATGAATTCTTCGAAAAACTGTCGATACAGTTAACAGAGGTATTGCAAGACCATATTTTGTGATAATGTTTATGAAATGAAGTATTACTATTCGACATATCGAAGTTGAGTATCTAGTTTTTAGCATTAAATTTTATCTTCTTTTTCTTATATAAGTTATTGATATTCTATTATATTTTTTTTTTAAAAGAAAAAGAAAAGAAGTTAATTCTTTCTCGTTAACCTTTTATTAAAAACTACCTTATGTTGTGTTATTTTATTTGGTTTATATACAAAATCATAAGATAATCGAAAATGGAAGAATTATTAAAAATTTATCACAACGCAAAAGTAAAAAACATAAGCTTAATAGTGATAATAGCCTTGAGACACTTAAAGAGAATTCCAAGAAACTCGACAATAAACTGGAGATGAAAAATCTTGTTTTAGTCAAAGACTTTGAAACTAATTTGAATCAGTAATCATGTCTAGTGATTTTATGTTCCAAGATTTACTCGCCTGGTCTTGCATTGTTATGTTCGTTTATTTGCTGTTAACTATGTCTTAAAATCTATGTGTATGCAGATATTTTATACAAATTATGTTTTACTCTTTGTATAAGAGTAGTATATGTGTTCACTTGGTTAATTTTTATTTTTATGATTATATCTTTTATATATTAATAAATTTAATACATTTTAGTTATTCCTCCTACCTAACCCTTATATGCAACCAAATGTGGAGTGGTCCCTCTGAAGACAATTCCAACTTTAAAAAGATACAATATTTGTACCATAAATACATCGGCAATATATCTCAACCTTTGACCTTAAACGAACCTTTTAATGAATATCCGCGTCTTAAACGAACAGTCCAAAATTTGCTTAGACATAATCAAATTTATGGAATAGGGCATCCTTTGTTCCTCAGAGAAAAATTTGTGGAAGCCTTACCTGTATATTTGGAGGTACTTAAAATAAAGGAGAATTTTGAATCTAATAACAACGATAATGAGCGGTCATTTGATTCTAACGAATATTTTGAAGTACATGATATTCTACAATTTTTTGATTCTTTATACAAGATTATAATATTTTATATATAATTTCGCAACTCATTTTAATTAAAAAAATTTGATAACAAAAGACTCTTATTCTGGATTCTTTTGTCGTAGCCAATACATGCGTTTGTTTTATGCTTGCGAACAAGCTGAAACAGGTAATTACTTAACTACTTTTATTAAAAGATAAATATGGTTAGGTTAACTATACCCCCCCCCCCCCCCCAAAAAAAAAATAAAAATCAATAATTTTTAAAAGTATCTACTTCATATAAAAATATGAAATTATCGATATAAAATTCAACTTTAAAAAAAATAATTCAATAAAATTAATTAACAAATATAATTATTATTATCTACATTTGAACTTCAATAAAGGGATGAATTATGTTTAACAAATAAAAAATAGTGATAATTTATTTCTTACCATTTATTCATTAATAAATAAACTTTGGAGACAAAAAAAAGATATGCTTCGTTACAAGTTTCGAAGGAATATATATTACAAATCAATTATTACATTAATCATTTTATTTAATACCTTTCAGTACTAAATTAAATATATTTATAATCATGTATAATTATTTCATATCCCGCCGTTTTATGTCAATGGTTTTTAAGATAGCCAACTCAATATCAAATTTTTTTAATTACATTTTTGCAGAGTGAAGAACTATACAATAAATTAGTCGATGTTATCGAAAGGGGACCTGCTATGGACACGAAGGATTCTATCAATAACTTTGAATTTTGGGCGAAATTATTTCCCAATGTATCGATTTTAAATCTTGTTATTGGGTAAGTTTTATATGATAAAATTTAATATATTCTAACTTTGTAAGATTATAGTAATAAGAGTACTACTACTCATAGGAATTTAATTAGTTTTAATTTAACAATTACTAATACTTACTATCAGTAGTGACATCACTAGCTCTTATCATTTTTTTATCTCCTAAAAGGTATTTTGTTAAGCACGTTTCCCTTAAGCAATTTCGGCGCCACTAACTGTAAGAGACCCTCCTAGATAACTTTTAATAGAAGTTTTTTTTAGATAATATAAAAAGCAATATACGATTGGATACCTAAAACTATACTCTATAAAGGTGGCTTATAAAAAATTTCAAGAATATAATAATTTTATTTTTTGTAAAAGTGGAAACTTTTTCCAATAGCTGGGAGAGGCAAACCACATCAAGAGACTTCCTAAACCTTTGGTTTTTTTAGACAATAATGAATTAAAATTCATTTTTATTTATTGATAGTATAGAATAATTTTATTTTTATTGTTCAAAATATCCTAATAACTAATAAATTGAAGCTAATTATATATAAAAATTGAAACTTTTAATAAACATTTTGGACATATAAAAAATTTATCTAAGTTTGAACCCCATCCTTGGCACATTCTGCATTAGTAAAACTCTTCTCCTTTATGATGTGGATCATTACATATATCTAAGGTTCTATTAATATATAAAATATCTTTTAATACCAAAAGAGACCGAGCTCGATTCTAATATTGGGCTTTTAGGAAGTTCACATATAGAATCCCCATAAACTTAGGCAATATAATCTTATATATCTGAATTCATAGGATATATTCACATGCTTTAAATTTGCTACATTGAGAGGTGATACTGCTAAAGCATCCATAAACTGTAAATAACTTTCCTGGAAGCATACACATCCAAAAATCAATTGCATGATCGTAATATTTTTGAGAGGCTTATAAACAGACCGATCAGGAGACTGTAATTTATGGGTGCAGTGGGGTGGCAAAATAAAATTATCACCGTATCTATACAAAATTTGACAGCTGAAAAGGAGTGATGTGATATATGATTGCCAAGGAATAAAAAACTTAACACTGGAGTACACCGAGTATTTTAGAAAAATGTTTAAAAAAATAATAAAATCCTCTCTTGCATTCATCCAGAACCATTTGATACACCTATAGAGTCAGATGGTCCATCTCTAACAAAATAGTCATAATATTTTTTTTCTGGGAAAAAGAAACATTAGAGGAATTGTATGGCCAATTGCATTTGCAGTTAGAGTTAATGTAATTAAGGTACCTCTTTTTGCAGAAGTCATGGATCCTACCTGTTTGTGACTCTTTTATACAATTATCTTGGATGCGGTTTGAACGTGGTAAATCCAGTTTCATCCATGTTGTAAATTGCCATACATTCTAATTTATTTTCTTTAATATGCCTAAATATTAAATGTAAAACATTTACTTAACAAATCATTTAATTAACCTTTATATAAATTAAAAAAGTATATAACATTTTCTTCATTAAATTCAGTTGCCCTAGTCTTACTAGTAGCTTCAGGGGACCTTTAGGAGAGGGTAGGATTCCTTAACATTAATCCCAAGTGCCAGCCATTGAATTGTCCTTCTGATATTTAGGAAATTTTTTCTTCATATTTATTGTCATGAGGTAGGCTAATTTTTTATCAAAAAAACAATACCAATTTAATTAAAAGGCCACAAAAAATTTGACTAGCTTGAATCAGATATTTAGTTATATTTTCCTCTTCTTCCGTGAATATCCTCTGTTTATTGTTTTGTCCTACACAAGTAAGTACTACTTTTTTGATATCTCTTGTAATATCTCATAAAGTTTGATCTAGGAATACCTAAAATAAAAATGTCAAATAATTAGATTATTTATTTATAACTTTAAAATATTAGAACATAAAATTTAAAAATGAAATATTAGTCTCTTTACTATTACCATATAGATTTTTATTTACATAATCTATATTATTAAATATTGCTAAAATTTTATTTTATTGTTTAAAAATTACATAAAATTTATACAATACTACACTTCATCATTCAATCTAAAAAATAAGATTATATAATTTACAAATTACATTTAAAAGTATTATTTACATGGTCTCTATTATTAAATAAATATTGCTAAAATTTGATTTTATTGTTTAAAATTTGCATAAAATGAATGTGATTATATCTTAAAAATAAGTTGAATAATGTAGATAAATTTACCTGTAAGTTAGATAGTGACCCTTGTTGATTTACAATTTTCATATACCTTAATAGCCTAATTACTTTATAATAACTTTCCCAAATTATAGAACAGTGTTCATTGGCGTAGCCAGGATTTTCTCATGAGGGGGGGGGGCACTTATTTTTTATGAAAACTCATGCTTATATCTTAAGCTATGTTAAAATTATTTTAAATATTAGCATATAACAAAGTTTTAGAGAGTATTTCATTATAGATTTTATTTATTATATAAAAATACTTTAGCATAAATAACATTCCTTTATTTAATCATATATTTATTTTTATTATTTAAAATAAATTTCAAAATGTAGATATTTATACAAATTATAATATTAAAAATTTTATTGTATAAAAACTCTATTTAAAAAAATATATAATTTAACAATTACATAAAATATAAGTAATTCTTATGCAAATAATGGTATTTAAAAAAATATGACAATATTATCAAAATATAAATAATACACAGTACTTTGATTAAAAATAGTATTAATAGCAATTTTAAAAGTTATTAAAAAAATTATATAAATGTTATAACTAAGAATTCATTTTATGGAAAAATTTGATTATAAATTAAATCGAATATAATCATATTGCAATTTTTTTATTTGAATTTATAAAAAGAGGTTACTTCTCTAAGATTTTGTTAATTCATCGAGAATCAAATTTTTATCTAAAATAATTTCCTTATAAATATTTAATAGGGCTAATCCATTTAAACGTTTTTCACCGGTAGCATTTCTTAAATAGGTTTTTAACATTTTTAAAGTTGAAAAAAAACCTTTCATTAGTGCAGATACTATTTGATAAGGTAGCTAAAATAATTAATAAAGTTTTGATATTAGACAGGGAATCTAAAGTGCAATTACACATGGAAAGGGCTTGCAGAGCATTTTTTGGTCGCAAAGAATACTCTATTCTGTCAAGATTTTTATACCAAAATTTTACATCACAAAGTAACTTATCATATGAGCCTACTAAATCATCAACGTAAAACTCTCAGATTATCTTAATATCCTCACGTGTTTCAAGTGTAATCAAGAGTTTAGACTCAACCGGCAAAATAAAAGCTTTAAAAAATAAAATTATGATAAATCTTTCCTTTAATTGAAATAAAAATGTGTGTTTTATAAAAGTCCTCAATCGTAGATGCATCAATATTTGAGCGATTGGTTGTCTGGAAACTACTCTAGGTTTAAAAATTTCAATCCCAAACATATTAGCAATCTCTATTTCTTTCCCATATATTTCATGATATTTTTCATCCACATTCTCTGATATTTGTTAATATTTCAACAATATCCTTTGCTCTATTCATAACCTCCCCTAAATCCAAGTCAATTTTTTTGTAGCATATCACTAAAATCATATGTATAATTAAATAAAAATAAAGACATTGAATTGATATTAAAATTTTTGGCTTAATAGGCCTGCAAATCTTTTTCTTTGCTTGATATATAAAATTTCAGTGCTGCAAATACAACATCATATAGTTCAATAAAGAGTTTCACAGACTCTTGTCTTTCAATGAATCTAGTCGGACATAATCTTTATATATTTTTTTTTAAATTTCAAGCATTTATTATCAATTTAGTAATTTAAAATAAGAAAATTTTTTAAAAAATTTAAAATTCTGCCATGTAAAAATCTTTTGAAAATTTCATCAAAATTTTATTTTTAATAATTAATTATTTCAAAAGGATTTTTGTCTATAAATGTAAACTAATAAAAACTATATTGAGTTAAATTTTAAAATGAGATTAATTGGTTTGCCAAGCCCCGGGGTGTACCTAACCCCAGTCTCTCCTACGCTTATTTTTTATAAAGTTAAATAAAATAAAAATCATTAATTGCTTTGTCGTTATCACAGATATTCTAATTATCATTTATTTTTATAGAACAAGAAAAAACATCATTTTCTAAGTTATATTCTTCAAGTCCAACCATATTTTTTTAAAAAAATTACGAGCCCAGCCCAAAGTATTTTAAAATTTTTAGACCCGAATCTTAAGGCTCTAATCAGCTGATCAAAAATGAATGCGATCAAAATTTTTAAACTCTCACGTCTATGAAAGCATAAAAAAACATTCGGGAAAATATCTGATAGAGCCACCTCAAATAGTTTTTAAAAAATAATGTTTTGTAATTTTTAAATTTTGGCACAACTACTTATTCAAGAACCGCTCATTATTTGAAAGGCGATGTTGAGAAATGTTTGGAACTGCTGAATTCAGTCGCGAACTATGTGTCACTCAATATAGATAACGTTATGCCATTACAACCCTTCCTTGAAAATAAAATTTTATTTTACATGTGGGAACTCGCTAAAAAGTGTTATTTAAAGATATTAGTAGATGCGAAACGAAATACTTGTATATTGGATGATAAGATTTTTCAGAATTGTTTGACCTGTTTGACCATTAAACCAAGTTTAAATATTCTCTATATATTTTACTGTTTTTTTAAATAATAAATTTAGCCTTTATTTAAATAAGATTTTATGATTACATATTTTAATTTTATATCCATAGGAACAGTTTTTAAATGCCCTTCCTTATTAATAAATATTTTATTATGAATTTAAAGACACTAATTATTTTTTATTTTAGAAAATGCGAACATTGAAGGCACAACTGAAAATAATTTTAATTTTCAAAAGGATAACTTTATTAATTCAACATCCATTGTTTGCAAGGATATGAATATTTTGAAAGACAATATATATGAAATTATTAAAAATTGAATAATATTGAATAAATCAATTATTTGTGTTATAATTAAGAATTTACCTAGAATGTTTACACCGAAAGGTGAGAGAATAATTTGTAGAAAGTAAATATTCTTATGAGTAATAAAGGAACAATTTTGGTTAAAACAAATTCATCAACTATAGACAACTTATTTTAGATTTTTTTTAGCCAAACAGGCTGTTAAAAATTTTGGTAGCCCAGAGAAATATTTGTTCCTTTTTAATGAATTTGGTAGCATTGAAAAAAATATAGGCTGTCACCAATAAAGAAAAAATATTTATTTTTAAATATGAAAATATGTCTGTGCTCACAAATAGTTTACTTTAACTTGAATAGTCGATGTCAAAACTGATGCTGACTGGTATCCGTTATCTGCCAATCATTTTTGGATATTGGCCATTTGTATTCGTTAAAATTTAAAGAAAAATAACTTAAAAATTCTTCTAGGTAGTTTTTTTAGAAATAAGAGGTATGCGAAATATGGGCTTATCTTGTTTGTTCCAGTCCGGCTAGTTCTAAATGTAGAGATTTATAAAAATTTTTGACCAATCCAAAAATTTTCTTGATCCAAGAATAAAAAATATATTCGAAAAAAAATTCCAACCTAAAACATAGAATTAATTTTATATTTACTATCCGAAAATTAAATTACTCCAAAAATCTATTTATTTTTTAGTGTAATATAAAAAATAATGTAAATGAACGAAATGGCAAAATATACAATCAAAACCATGATTTATTTATATCACGAATTAAATATAAAATTGTCAAAATATACTTGTCGATTCAGCCCATCCCAAAAAAATTACAATTTCCGGCTCGGTGATTCGAGATATTGGGTTGGGTCAGGTTTTGCAGGGCTCTTCTCATGAGTAAACTTGCCATATTCTAAAACTCAAATAGCAGGACTACTCGGGATATACGTTATCACCTTTTTTGTAACGCATTTATGTTAAATTTTAGTCTAAATTATAAATTTATCAATTTTTACATCAGTATCTAAATTAAAAAAATAGATAAAAATTTATTTTATTAACCCTTTGACGTCACACGATTTGTTTTGACATCATGTAATATAATTAAATATTTTAAATTTATAAAAGCCTATAGATTCAATTTAACATCATATGATATAAATATAATAAAAATACTTTCGCATTTTCTTAAAATTAATAACGTATATTTTTTTATTTTTAAATTTGAACCAATTATATTTTCATAATTTTTTTCCTTCCCATTTTACTGAATTTTACGATTTTATAACGACAATAAAACATATTCTGTGGAGAATATATATTATTCCTAAAATTCTTATTAATTATTAAAGGTAAGAGTATAATATTATGATCAATTATTTTATTAAAAATGACTATGCTCTTTTTTATATCAACTCAAAGTGCATGATGCCAAAATAAGTCAATGGGATTTTAGAATACAACTTTTAAATATTTTTTTTCGTTTTATATTTATAATGGTTTTCTATAGTTATAATTAAATTTTACCATAAAATGTATTCTAAATCCAATCAGACCATACCATTTTTGAATTTGGCGTTCATAAGACCTATATCTTCTGACTTATATTATAATTTTACATTTATTATATTTTTTAAAATGATTCTATATAATTTATAGATGCCAAATAATTTATTAATAGTGGAGGGAGATATTTCGGAAGCTGATATCGATGAATCAGATCATGAGGAATTTAATTTGCATACTCTCTACGATGATTCCCCTTCAACTTCATCAACTCCAATATCTAATCTTCAAATCGAGATAGAGGATAGAGAAATTAATGATAACAATATCATTCAAAATAATATGAAATGGAGAGTAGGTGATATACATCAATTGGACACAAATTATGCTAATAAATTTTCCACTGCAGCCAATATATTAACTCCGTATCAATACTTCAAATTATTTATTTCAATTAATATACTAAATAATATATGTGAACAAAGTAATTTATACAGTTTTCAGAAAATAAATCGATCGCTAAATCTAGATATAAATGAATTAGAACAATTTATAGACATACATCTTTTTTCTTCTTTGGTCAAAGTTCCTTCATATAGACAGTATTGGTCTGCAGAATTAGCGTTCCCTCAAATTACGGAAACTATGTCTCGAACCAGGTTCCAAATATTGCGAAAATATTTACATTTTAATGATAATTCTCAACTTATCCCAAGAAATCAAGATGGATATGATAAATGTTATAAAATTAGGCCATTTATTAAAGAGATTCAAAATAATATGCAAAAATTAGAGATGGAGGAAAGACAATATATAAAATCGAAGCCTCACAAATGGGGTATCAAAATTTTTGCATTAGCTGGCTCCTCCGGTATTGTATATGATTTTAAGATTTATGCGGGAAAGCAAACTAATCCAACACCCTCAGAATTAGGGATAAGTGGTGATATAGTCCTTCTATTGGCTAAAATATCCCGAAATTTCAAAATCATAAACTCTTTTGCGATAATTATTTTTCTTCAATAGCATTGGCTAAAAAATTAAAAGAAAAAGGTATATGTATGGTAGGGACTATTAGAAGTAATCGTTTGAAAGATTGCAAGTTAAAATGCGATAAAGACTTAAAAAAAGAAGGTCGTGGGAGCTATGTATATAAAGTTGATAAAAAATAAAATATAATAATTGTCAAATGGTATGACAATAAATTTGTGCACATTATCTCAACATTTGTCGGTGTAAAAAGATGGTCACTGAGTAACAAAGAATATATTGAAGTTCCAAGACCAAATGTATTAAAAATATATAATGAAGGTATGGGAGGAGTCGATTTACACAATATGCTTGTTGAATGCTATAGAGTAGATATCAAAGGAAAAAGATTCTACTTAAGAATTATTTTTCATCTCATAGATATGTGTGTAGTAAATTCATGGCTTTTGTATAAACGGCAAATATGCCATGAAAAGGAGAATAAAATCATGAAACTTATACAATTTAAAACATATATTGTTAAAGCATTGTTATCGGCAGGAAAAACTAGTAAAAGAAAATCAGGGAGGCCTTTAAATAAACCGATTAAAAAAAAATTTTCTTCTATAATGGCTTCTATAGCTGATATCAGATATGATAACATAGGTCATTGGCCAGATTCCTGCAAAACTAGGCAAAGGTGCAAGTTATGCATAAATGCATACTCAAGAACAAAATGTGGAAAATGTAATATATATTTATGTTTTAATCAATTTAGAAATTGTTTTCGACATTTTCATAATAAATAAATATTTGTATTTTTTTATTACACAAAAGCCTGATGATTTGATTTGGCATCATCATTTTTTTTAACTGTATATTTAAAAATAAAAGTTAAAACAAATATTAGGCATCTATGGAGTGTATAAATGAATAATTTATAAAAAAAAAAATTTTTTTTAAATTAATAAAAAGTTGGGCGTCAAAGGGTTAAACTTTTTTTTTGGAATTTCACGACAGGTAATTCAAATTCTATTTTATCTTTTAATAAATCAAATGATAATGATCAATTTTTTCTCTATGTATTCATTAAACTAATGATGTTCCCCTTATTATATTTTAATTGTTTACAATACAAATTTAGATCATCTTTCTAGGTTTGAGGCTCGGTTGGAGTACATTAGATATTTTTTTTGATGGGATAAATTGTTCTGGAAAATGTATTACGTTAACATTTTTACATTATGAAATTCTCTTCAGAATTGACGGCAAAAATATGAATAAAATTTTCAGTTCATCTTTTGGAATATTTAAAATTTGACAATCTTAATAGTAAAAATTGTTTAAATTTGAGACTGAATAGAGATAATTGACATTTTATTTTAGATAGTTTTGCGAGATTTTAACTATAACGTAAGACATCTAGTCGTATTTTTTTCCTTAGAACAGAAGGTCATTTATTGAAATGCGCGACCGAAACCGGGAATCTGGCAAGTTTAATCCAGAAATCGAAAAAATAAGCCTAGGTAGGACTAATTTACCATATTTCAAAACTTTATCATTGTCAAAATATAAGAAGACTCATTGATTTTTTAATAAATAATATATTAACGGAATCACCGTGATCGAGTTCGATCGATTATATATTGTCCCACCAAGTTGGTTTTAGAAAAAAACATGGCCATTGCTGGATTCGAATGATCAACGGACTCAGCGAGACCACAGACGGTATACGAAAACATCAATTTTTTTCATATAATAAATAATTGGCATGTTTAAATATTTATGGGAAAATAATAAAAGCAACACTTTTGACATGAGACATTAGCCATCGCTGGCCACAGACTATATGCGAAAATATCAATTTTTTCATATATAATGATAAATAAAAGACTTGTTTAGATATTTTACGAAAAATACATAAAAACCCGTCTGACGGGGAGAATCATACTAGTAAACTTATTTTCAAAAGTTAAAATTATTTTGATATCGAGATTCACCAAGGACATTATTCACGGCATCGGCCAATAGTTTCAATTTTTGATGATTAACCCTCATGAATTAAAAAAAATTTATCTTATATTAAACTATTTATCTACTAATATCTAAACCGATAAGGAAGTAATAAAGAAAGTGTTTTTAATTTTGTTTTTTCCTATTTCTTTTTATCTTCAACTTTATATAATATTCACGATATATCTTTGTTTTTCCCCCTAATAAATATATATAATAATCAATTTTTGGTATAGACAAAAAAATGTGTTTGTTTCCAAAAAATGTTTATATCATAAAACTAGAGCCCTGCATAGGATCTATATATTTTTTTAGATCTGACCTCATCAAAACTGACCTAACTAACCTTGCAATCACAGTGTGCGCAAACGCTTCGAATTCGCGCTAACTGTGAATACATAATAGTTTGCGTTTTTTTCCAAGAATCCTATCCGGTCCAATATTTTATTTTATAAAATAGGCTCGAGTCCAATTGAACTTTTAAAAAGTACGAGATTTCAAGAAAAGCAGGAATAAATTCCAAGACCGTGTCCTGATTCGTCTTATTTCTAAAAGTCGATAGTTTCCTCTAAACAGCTTAAAAAAAGAGGCTATTTAGATTTAAGTAAAAGTATACGCGTCTGTTTTATTTGCACCGAAAATATATATAAATAATATTTTGTCTTCGTTCAAAATCTGTTTAGCCTGGGAAACAGAAATAACTGTCATAAATAAGACGAACCAGGACACGGCTTATTCACTGAAGGAAAATAAAAAAATTTAAGAAAAATATTTATAAAAACATTTTAAAAAATAAAATTTTGTTGAGATCCGTTCCCTAAATAAGTTTTAAAATTAAGTTACCGAGTCCAAGAGAATGTCTATCCAAATTTGGTTAGATTGCTTCATGCAAAAAAATGATTGATGCAGAAATATAGATTATAAATTAGATGGTTACTTAAAAACCAGGTCATTAAAGATTTTTAATTTTTGGGGGTGCAGCCTAGACCCCGTTAACTTTTCGAGGGTTAAAATGAACTTGGACACAAGAATATGAATAATTTATAATTAAATGTGACCTTATTCTGACAATCAGGACTGCGAAAATTTTTAGAAAATGTGTATTTAGGCCTAATATTACTACATTTGTCAGTGCTTACAAATTCTTCCTATGTTACATACTAATTAGTGAGTTATATTTTTGAATGTTGATTTTCCAATTTATTTTTGACACCTATTACTATTAGAGAATGATTTAGATGAGCGAAAGATAGTCTTATTAAAAATTGAATTGCATTCTTTTTTGGATAAAATTAATAATTGAAATGCGGCCCGATAATATAAATTTATTTTACTAGTTTTAATAAAATTTTTCTACTTTTCCATCATCTATAACTATTTATATTTGCAATTTATATTGCGTTTATATAAATTTAATAGATTATATTTACCCTATTTAAAGACGAAAGCAAAACTAGATAAAGACAGCAATAAACGGGTGAAGGGGGTATCATGTTGTTGCGTTATTGAAATCTCGGAAGGGGTGGGATAACCTCTTAGTTAACAGGAACCAGTATCCATTTTCTAGTTGAATCATATTTAATTCGTTAGAAAGGACTCGTCGTCATTGGTTTAGCAGTAATTTAGAGCGATGAAGCTGAAACGGCTGTAAAATATATCAAAGGATATAGTATAAATAATCTGTTCCAAATCACGAATATTTAGCTATATTAAATTCCTTATGAACAAATTTTTTTAACATTCTTTCAGATAAGAAGAGGAACTAAAACATTCGCTCAAAATTTAAGATAAAAAATTTAACAATTCAATTAATGTTGAATGAAATACTTTATTAATTAAGAAATATTATTTATTAAAAAACTGCTCAGAAATATACCGAATAAACAACATTCTTCGGAAGGCCTGACTTGAGGATTCTCTTGGCTCAAATTTTGGCAAAAGTTAAAATATTTTTCTTATACTTACTAGAAAAGAAACCTAATTTTTTTGCTATTTTCCTCGAGTGATTTTAATTTTCCCATTTTCTTTTACAGATAAATAATTAAGTTTTTCACCATTTAGAAATTTTTTTCAGATCGCACTCTGCCACTACTTCAAGTTCAATTGGAACTATTTTAAATAAATATTAGTCAGCCACAGATCGAACTTACACAGATCGAACTTGCCCTTAAGTCCAAATATGTCGGACTTGTTGTAAAAGAACGCTTTTATGAATAAAATTATTAAAACATGGTGAACGCCGTTTCCTTTTATCTTTTATGTCATTCATTCTAACAAAAAAAAACTTACTCAACTGTGTCCTTCAATTATTTGACGAGTTTATATACTTCTATACTCTTATTTAGAATGGTCTATATTTTATAATTAATTTTGTAGCTGAATTATATTCATTAGGTATATTCCTACACCACAAAAAGATTTTAAAAAATTATAGAAAAACGTAGGATTGAAAAAGCCTCAGTATAAAATGTCAATTCTTGTAATCTCTCTTTTCTGAGCAAGAATTACTCGAAATTTAGAAGAGGATTGTATAAAAATTATTTTTAACAAATGAAAAAACCAGGAAAAGTCAATCAGGAAATGGTATAGACTACTTTTATAAATAATTCTTCGAGTTATGGAGTGGTAAGAACCAGTCTCGCTTGGTTTACATTCACATATAAAACATAAAATATTTTAAATAAATTTCCTATAATATCCTTATTCATTCTACAAAAACGGCGATTTCAACTTCAGCTCCTGTAAAAAGCGTTTTCGCGAAATGAATTCCTTTTTAATTATGAAACGCTCATGGTATATCGATAAAGATTTTTTTTAAAAAAACAATTATTAAAAAATTAGAAAAATATTATATAATTTATATTTCAAATCATATTTTATAGTTGTGTCTATTATCGGTGTTATTAGGCGTTTAATATAATTATATGAATGAATGCCTTCACGAATTTGAACGTGTTTCTCTTTTTACTGCTGTTAAGTGGCTCGATTTGAACTTATGTTCAAAAACGGCTTGCTGAATATTTTAGCCTGAAAATTATAGCCTACCTCGAGATTTCCCTAATAGATGTCCAAACCTTTGTGCCATCTATGAGCATATTCTTCAGGCTTGCGCAATATATCTCCGGATAAAATATTTAGCCGTTTTTAATAATAAAATCGGCTCTTATCGAGCCGTTTAACAAAATTACCTTTTTTTGACTATGATTAAACATGAATATATTCGATTTTTTTTAAAAAATGAATAACGAACGAGAACGACTTCTTTAAAATATTTTGGACAGCACTATTTTCAACAAAATATATTCATAATTATTTTTAAATTCTCTCGAAAATGTTGTGGTTTAGCGAACGGTCAAATTTTTATTTACTAAATAATACTAATAATAATTTTACTCTATATTAGATGAATTTTTATTAAAAAATTAATTAAAAAGAAAAATTATAGGAAAATTAGTTTATTGGGGCAAATTGATTTTTTAAAAGAAAAATGAATAATTTTCATGGAAATATTATAAAAAGAAAATCTTATTTAATCAAGGATTATAAAAACGGTAAAAAGTAAAAAATATAAATAGAATTTACATTAATAGGGAAAACCGGATTATATGAGATTATGTAAAATTTATACCTTTTTTGAACAGAAAAAGAAGATTTGACGTTCACTTTCATAACTCTTTAACGCCTCAATTATTGTGTTAATGATTTGCGATGACAAATTCCATAATTTAATGCTATTATTATTTTATTTTTTTAAATAAGAAATTAGACAAAAATGATATAATAAATACATAAGAATAAAAATAAATTAACTGTCTTAAATTACATATTTTTTTAAGTTTGATTTTTACAAGTTTTATTTTAAGGAGAAAGTTTTAAAATATTATTAATATAGTGGATAATAAAATTAATTTAATAATATGAAATCGATTGAAAAAGATGATAGTGAATATGGTTTCACAAGGCTCAATTCTTCGAATTTTACTTTGCCAAATTCTTTAGGCTTTTTGGCTGGTGCTCTAATTGTCATGTCCCTCTTAGGGCTAGCTTTCATTCCATGGCTCAACTACAAGATAAAAACTTTGGACAACGACCAAGATGCTTATTTGATCATGATCAAGATGAGATTAGCAGAAAAAGAACAAATACTATCTTTTTTGAGGACAGAAGCTACGACTTTGCAAGTTATTATAATAATTTTAAATATATATTAAAAATAATGTAAGTAAAATCTTATTTATTTTCATATTCATTGTTTTTTTAAACTTTCTATAAGTTGATTATAATAATGAATCCAAAACTAGATCAAGATAGTGGAATTAATTCGAGATAGAAGGACACGCAAACTAAGGTTAAGACGCCCTATAAACGATATGCTAAAAACGAAGACCAATTATGAATCTATAGAAGTATTCCGGAATAGAAGGTATAAAAGGGAAGTGGAAACAAAAATTATAGATACACCAATAGAATTGCCGGCTGAAATTCCAGTGGAAATTTCAGTGATTGGCAAAGAAATATTATTTGCCCAAAAGGCTAGTCAGCAAACGCAATTCATCGACGCTCTACCTAAAGTGGAAAGTTCTGGAGATAGGGTAGAGGCTCAATATAGACCATTTTCCCCCGAAATAGAAGAGATAGGTTATAAAATTGCGATTTTAGTCACACAATGTCTTTTTAAAAACAATTAGAATTAAAAAGGGACACTGTTTTATATAAAATTAAAAATATAATATGATATAATATATTGTGAGTATTAAAATATTATTTAAATGTATTGTAAAAAAATATATGCAGAATTCATAGAGGACGCCATTCAGCTCGATTTAAACAGACGAAAATCTTTTAATGAGATTAATTTTATCTAAATTCAATGATGATGATAATCTGAGAATTAATAATAAAAAAAGTATTTATTCCTATTAAAAGATTTTTTTAAATTTAATCAGCTGTTAAATGGTGTTGCATCCGCTATAAGTTCAGCTTTATAGGTTTTACTTTTTATTTATTTATTACTATTACAATAAAGCCTAAAAATTTTATAATATACAGAATCCGGTTTCAATAGAGGAGGATCTAGATCCGGCCAAAGTAGCAGAATATCGGTTTCTTCATTTGAAAATTCTGCAAGAAGGGTTAATAGTGGTTCTTCCTCACAAAGTTTTAATAGCAATGGAGCTGGGCGGAATGGAAAAGCTCAATCAAGTTTTAAATTTGTTTTACATTATAATGATTATATATGATAGAATAATATAATTGGGGTAGGAAAGCTCTTAAATCACTGACGTATGCATGACATTAAAATGCAATTAGAAGTAGCCTAGTAAAAAAATATGATCTCACTTTTAAAGAAAATAAATTATAACCAATTAAAACTCGTAATTCAACATTTTATGTGTCTAAAAAACATCATATAAAGTTTTCACAACTTTCAAAGTAGTAAGATATTTTTGTTGTTTTTATTTATAAGTTAGACTATGATTTTCTCCCAAAAAGTATATTTTATAAAAATCAACACCTTGATAACCAAATCTTTAGGCCATAACTGATACTCTGCAATTAAAATAAAATATTTTCAAACATTCAAAATATTAAATTTATTTTTTCCAGGTAAGATTTTGCTAAAACATACTTAATTAATGAAAAAACATTTTCTAATCCGGTTTAGAATCTTTTTCCCTTTCTGAAATGATTTTATATATTTTTTTTATTTAACAAGATAATGGTTGTAAAACGTGCCTCCATGGTAGGCCAGGTGTGAGTGGTAGGCCCGGAAGGCCAGGTTCTCCTGGCAGATTGGGCGATCCTGGTCAGGATTCTTTGCAGCCTGGTAATCCTGGACATCCCGGTGAGTATGCTAAACCTGGTTCACCCGGCCCTAAAGTATTTTTCATGTTTTATGAAATTATAAATAATTTGACTGATTTAAAAATGATAAATAATATTATTGCAAAACTTTTTTTAAAATATATTCGTTGTGCATATAGGGTCCACCAGGTCCCCCTGGGGCGGACTCAGAACCTGGAGCAGATGGCCAGCCAGGGGTAGATGGACCAGATGGCAATAGTGGTAACCCTGGAAAAGATGGAGAAGACGGCAGCCCCAGCTTGCATGATGTATATATATATATATCTCGTTTTGTGTTCAAAATTGATTATTACAATGTTTTAGTGGGTTGGGGGGGGGTATTAAATATAAATTTTTATTATTTGATAACAAAGGAGATGAAGAAAAGGACTAGTTTATGATAAATTAGCATTAAGTAATTATTAGAGGAGTAAATTTAAACAAATTTTAAAACTTGTTATAAGTTGGGTTGAATTTATGTATATGTGTATAATTGGGGTATTCACATTATTAATTCTGTCTTATCTATTAACATTACAAAGAGTTGAAATCTCTATTTAATTTTATTTAACAATAGAGGGGCATAATGGAGAAGATGTTATGGGGAAAATAACTTCGTTACCTGTATAAGAGTTAATAAGGGGTTAGACTGATAGTGAGATATTAGGTTTAGAAGAAAATAATTTAGTAAATAGACATGGGGGCGGAGATATATATGGAAAATATATTAAAATCAAGTGTTGAAACCATATAGGGACAGAGAAAATTTGTTTAGAAATAGAACGGAGATGAAACCGAGATTTAATTCTCGAGGGAGGGGAGATATTACTTGTTATAACTGTGGTGGGCAAGGACATATGGTCAGAGATTGTCAAGAGAAAAAATGTTTTGAATGCGGCAAAGTCATATAGCCCCATATTGTCCGCGCAAGCAGGAGAAATTGAGATGTGCCAGGTGCGGAAGATTTGGTCATAATAAAGAGGATTGTGTAAGCAGATATAATACAAGAGGTGGTTTCTACAAAGGGGAATGGGTCAAAATACTCCCAATGTGCTAGCTAAGAAATAGGGAAGTAAATATGTCTAATTTTGTATCATATTTATATTTCTCATTCCTTTAACATTCCCTCTAGATTTTATATTTCTCAACCCTTTCCTCTGCCAAACTCCCTTTCCCATCATATACTTCCCACCATCATAGTCACCAACTCAGTTTACACACGAAATTTAAATTTGCATATTGTTATAACAGTTTTGTGGTTTAAAAAAATAATATTTTTAATCGCTATAAAAATAATTATCGAAATTTTGTGCTATGATTGCTATTGAAATTTGATATTTTATTTGTAAAAACATATTTATAAAGGGCGAAACAGGCAAAGCCGGAGACATGGGTCGACCAGGAGGAAAAGGACTGCCCGGTAATGCTGGGCGAGACGGTTCACCCGGTACACCTGGAAGAGATGGAGAAAGGGGAGAATCTGGAGAATTGGTATGATTACATTTCTATTAATAATGTTTATATTTAATGAAATCCAACATGGTATATATTTTTTAAAAACATTTATTAGAAGGGAAGGCATAAAGATTTTTATTTTATATTTTTATGCCATGAAAACATAAAAATAAAAAGTGCAGTTCTCCAAATTTTTTATACAGGTACAGATACTTTTATATTTTTGTTTTTATAAGATTCAAAAATCACTATATTACCTTATTTTTTTCGTGGATTATTGCATTAATTTTTTTTCCTTCTTACCTAACTTTCTATTTTAAGATAAATATTTATTATTCGTTTATATTTATTTTAATATGCAAATTGGCTAATTCAATTTTATAATTCCTTGTTCATATTTATATTATATATTTATTAGTTTATCATTTTATACTTTTTGGCATATTTAATCATAACCTTTATTGAAAATTCAATATTCTACTTACATAAAAAGTACTAATCTGTCTATAATTGCTAATAATAAATAGGCATCAATTTTAAAATATTTAAGGTGATTTTTTAAATTTTTTTTAATCATTTCTACAAATATCTATAATTTGAATATTATTTCATCATTTTATTCAAATAATCATGATCTTATTTTATGTGAGGGGAGGGGGGGGGTAATAAAATATAAGTATCTATATTTCACGGTCCAACATTCTTGTTTGCCCTTTGGCACAGTATACTGAGAATGAAAATAATATTTGGATGATTTAGATTTTGTTGATAGTAGTTTTGTTTTAAAAAAATTATTATTATTATAATGATATCTATTTTATCGCAATATTCTTATATTTTAATTTTAATAATGTTTCTAAACGATCCGAAAAACTCTTTGGGATAGTTTCTCTGGAGGAATAGACCACAGAATTGGATATATTTGGATTTTTTTTTCCAGCATATTAATACAATCAACATATTATATATCCTAATCTCTCTATGTGCATCTCAATTTCTGATTTATACATCTCTTCATTCCTATTATTGGGCCCCAAAGAATTCTTTTACTGTAGTTATGCGGAAAAGATATTGTTCTTTGTGAACCATAGGTTAGAGATATTACTTTGACCTCTTGGACATTGTTGCTTATTGTGCGAATGTAATTCTCATTTATTCAATATATCCATCTTCATGATTATATTTTAATTCAAAAATGCTATCGTTATCAGGCAAATCATGAATAAAATAAGGCTTATCGATATTTATATTCAAACTCAAGAATATTAATCTTTTGTCTAATTATATTATTGTTATCTAGAAATATATAATATATTATCTGATTTTATTTTTAGCTAAACTAATTAAATAAATAACGATCAGATAAAAAAGTTTCATAAAATATATCTTGCATCTAAGATACACTAATTTAGATAAAATGAATATAATAAGTATTTATATCTGAAATATTTTTTCAAGAGTCTGTAACCGGATTCTTTTTTTAAAATACCTATACACATCTGATCTTAAGTATATTCTGTGAGTGGCTCCTACCCCTTCTGAGCGATGGAAATAGAATACCCCTCTGAAAAGTAGCCCCTCCCCCAACGAAAAGAATGTAAATTATTTTTTTACACCCTTTCGGCAATACATGAAATAGTAGGAATTGGCAAAAGATAGTAAAATAATATTACACCACCAACACAATGGTTACTCTCAGCTATAATTTCAAGTGTTCTTGTATTTTTTCTTATATACTTTCTTTCAAATCAATGTCTTTTATTCCTTCTTATCGATTGGTTAATATCTCAATTAATTACTTAGTTTAGGATGTTGCCTCTTTTGAATTAAAAACTTTTTTTGTCAATAAAATCTTCTACCAATACTTTACATACAAATATATTTAGTTTTTTATTATTACGACTATTTACTGTTCAAGTAGTGATCTCATTTTGACCATCACTTTTGAATATATCCCGTAAATAGTATTCTTTCATCAGTCTTAGAATCATCATCAGGAGAAGAAGGAGAAGCTAAATAATGTATTAATATAAATATTTTAATAAAATAAATTTACAATTCTCAGAATCTGACAAATCTTTTGAGTTTTTAACCTCCAGGTCACGTGTAATAATTATATCGCTCGTTTTAGTCTTAATATAAATTCGAAACTTAGACATTTTTTCAAAAACTTGATTTGAATTTAATGGTAAAGTTCTTAGATATCCTCAAAATCATCCTTAACGAATATCTTTTCTGCCATTCTCTTTGATGTTAAAAATGATGTTTGATTAAAAATTTAATCAATTCATCATTGAATCTTTCATTAAACTGCATAATGGTCAAATCAAGTGCAGCATTAATGGTTTTATGGCTAAAATAAAATATTATATTTAATAATGAAAGTATATTTTTTGGATTGTAATGTTTGACTTTAATTTTCCAAATTAAAAGGTAAATTTTTCCTCTTCAAAAAATCTTGTGTCAAAAACATTCACAAATTTATTGTTACTATTTATTAGTATTAAGTAATAATACAAGACAATAATTTAAATATACCTCAAATAAATCAGGCAGTCTTTTGCTAATTGAATTTGATTTATTGCAAATCCTATATCCTTCGAAATGGTTTGCAATTTTGTACAAGCCAAGCTTGTTATCTATCCAAAACACAATGTGATAAAATAAAATCAAAATTTTCTATTCTAAAAACAATAGCACTAGCCATAATAGAAGTGACCAAATCTTCAAAATCCTTTAAATTTTTCAAAACTGCCCTCAAGGTATTATAAAAATATAAACAAATAAGATAATATTAACGAGTGATATTCTTGATGCGTAAAAATCGTTGCGATTTTCTCTACATCACTCTGACATGAGCACTGCTTTTTGCACCATTGAAATACACGTGAATCACGTCTAAGATCCCTAATACATTTCCTAGTTCTTTTATCGATTAGAATAATTGAACAATGATTGGATTTAATCGATGACAATAGCACTAAATAAAAGTTACCATTGATATTTCAGTCAGCCAAAGCCTGTACCCCTATGATCCTTCCCCTCATGTTTGAGACACCATCATAGCTTTTCCCAACTAAGAATTCGAGGTGTAGATTGGATTCATAGAACTAAGTTTGCATATTATATATTTTTTAATATCAAGACCAGTCGTTTTACCATTTTCAATATGTCTTACTATATTGCTTATGATTCGGTAACATGATATTTACCATCAGCTATAATTGAAAAACACCTGTTAAATTCAATCTCTTACAACCATATTTTTCATGGTTTAATGAGAATATTTATATTATTATAAGACAATATAAATTATAATTTGAATTATAATTCCTTTCATTTTTTCTCCTTTCTTTTTTATTCCTTCTTTTGAGTATACAATTTCTGAACAGGTTCCGAATCTGCAATTAGTTTAATCAAATGCTACTGTTTCAAAGCTTTCTTTATATCGTTAAAATTTAGCATGTCTTTTTCTAATATGATCTGTTCATTTACCATCGCTTATATTATGCCATGTGCAATTATTAATTAAGGATTTGCATATTTTTGGTTAATATTTTGAAATTGGAAAAATAATTTTATAAGACAAGAAATCTTATGGTTATGGATGGGTGTGGTAAAACTAAAAATGAAATTTATCTTTTTTAAAAAGTACCCCTATTTACATTTTAAGAAGCAGTTGCTTCGGGCCCTCCTTCCCCCCTCCCCCGTTGTAGGGGCCACTGAATATGTGTAGTAAAGTTGATTTCAAGTCGTTTAATCTATTCAATTTGAATCCAAAAGAACATTATTATATATATTTCTATTATACTTAACCAATATCTCCTGTAAAAAAATTTATAGAGATTATTAATTTACTTTTCTAGGGCCTTCAAGGAGAATCAGGAGCTGATGGATTCAATGGTGATCCTGGCCAAAAGGGAAAGGACGGGATTCCTGGCCAAATCGGGGCATCTGGAAGAGACGGATTACCGGGACTGGAAGGAGAAAAGGTATTATTTTATAAAACGATTTAATTCATGTATTTTTTTATTATGTAAACAAATAATTACTACAAATTATATATAATATAGGGACAAAGAGGATCGCCAGGCAAAAACGGAATAGATGGACCTCCAGGAAAGCCGGGTGTTGACGGAGAACCCGGTCGAGAAGGTAATCCTGGTCAAAATGGGGAAAAGGGGATAAAGGGACCTGCTGTAAGATTTAAATAACTTATTTATCTTATCATTCCACTTCGATATTAGAGTTGCCAACACACATTCTTCTAGAATTTTGAGTTAACATATTAATTTAGGTAATCTAACAATACAACCACGGAATTATTAAAATTTTAATTAGAAATTTTATAAAGACTTAACTAATTGATTTTTTCCCACTTTTTTTAATCCTAATATTCAATATTAATTATTCCTAAAATTCATATTATTAATGAATAATCATTTTAATTTTTTAAATATACCCAGGCCGGGCCTGAAAATTTTTTATAAAAATACCCGGACCGGACATGAAAATTTTTTTAAAAAAATCTCCTGCCCCCAAATATTTGGAATCGTCATTATTAACTATAAAAATCAAAAATAAATATAATTTGTTTTAAAAAAATCCGGGCCGGGCCTGCAATTATTTTTTTAAAAACCTCCGGCTAGGTCGGGCCGAAAAAAATTCCGGGCCTTGTAAATGGTACCTCTGCAGGTCTCTGATGAATGTTAAGGTAGATAGGGAGTAAGACAATAAATAAGTTATAATAATATTTTATCTTAAAAAAATTTAAGTACTATATCTAACAAATTTCACACTAAATATATGTAATAAAATTCAATTTAACAATTTATTTAATCGGTTAATATAAAATAATAATAATAATCAGTTAATCGACCAATATAAGAAACTATTAAGTTAATATAATGTAAAATAAAAGAAATAAGAAAATCAGTCCATAAGGTAAATATTAAGTTAATAGATATTATTTTACGGTAAATGGAATATATTAACAATGAAAAACATAGATAATTACTAATTAGTATTTTACATTTATATTAGGTCTCATCTAATTCCCCCCCCCCCCATTTTTTAAATATTATTACTGTTTATAATAAATACTATAGTTGATATATGATATCCGGTAATCATATGGCAATCTTTAAGGAATTATAAATACTAATAAAGTTTCTCAAATTATAAAAGATAGTTAAAACTTCGCTATAAAACTTATTTTGGGTATAAATTATTATATATTTAATAATTAAACATCGTATATGCAAAAACCTTTTGAATTTAACACCAAAATTTTATTTATTATATAAAATTTTTAATTGTTTATCATTTAAAATGATTTTTTGTCTATGGATGCATAATAATAATGACTATATTAGGACAAAATTTAAAAATCTATAAATAGTTTTAAAATGAGAATGGGTTTACTTATTCCCGTTCTCCATTACTCATTCAAAAATAAAAAGATGAAATATCTGCTAATGAAACAAAATTACAACAAAGGAATAGTGTTTTTAAACGGCACGATTTGAGCCGATTTTTAAAAACAGCTAACTAAATATTTTATCCAATATTAAGCAGACCTAAAGATTTTGTCTATAGATGGCGCAAAGGTTTTGACACATATTAGCAAAATCTGGAGCTTAGGCAATATTTTTTTTTTCAAAAATCTTATCTAACATTTTTAAAAATTGACTCAAATCGAGCCGTTTAACAACATTACGCCAGGAAATAAATAATGAAATAATGATAGATTACAAAATGTATTGAAAACAGTATGTGAGGAATATCAAGATGGGCCCGGGATTTACCATAGTTCTTCAAGGTTTGGTTTTAAATTTCTTCATAATTAATAAATGTAATTGATTTTTGAACACAGTTATTATAAATTAAATTTTATAAAATTAAAGTAATTTTTCAAGTGGGGGGGGGGGGGGGGTCCGAGAATAATTTTATGTCAGTCAATTTTTCGTCGGCAATCATCTGATACATGTTAACTATTTTGCTGTATCACTATTTACAGTTATATTTCTGAAAATAAATTATTTTTATAACGAATGAAAGGAATTTAATTGAAAATACAATTTATGTATAAAAATAATTAACTGAAATAATTATATACTGGAATAAAATATTTCTTTGCATTGGAAAAAAATATATAATATTTATTTGAATCGAAAAAATATTAATAAACTTTTTTAAAATCTCTTTTTAAAAAGTCCAAAATAAGCTTCCCTAGACTAAATAAACGTTCTTATATTTTATAAGCAGTAACTTTAAATCTGGAGAATCATCATATTAATATAATGAATTATTAACATATTTTAAAAGTAACTTGAAAAATAACTAGTTATGTTTTTAATTACATCAAAATATTACAGCAATTTTTTTTTAGTATAAATGTATTTACATATTTTAACAACACTAGTGTTTCCCCTAGTCTTTATGGGATGTCCTACATTTGATTTAGGTAAAATCAGAACAGGCCCGAAATCCAGCCTAAATTGGGCCATAAAATAGTATAATTTTATAAATTCGAACCAAACCAAAAATATTACCCCGGATGGGGCCTATAAATATTTATTTTTACCAAAACCGTGCCTGACCCATTATTTGTTTGAATTTAAATTCAATTAACCAGTAGGAAAATTATATAATGGATCATTTAACATTTGTTGTTCATATTTTAATATATTTAAAATAATTTTACACAATAGGGCCGAAATTATTATTTAAATGACAAAATTTAAGAACCCAGTTCATGTCAATCCCAAAATATTATTTTTTAAATTTTGGCCAGGCTTAAAAATAATAAAAGAATTCAAATTCAGAACAGATCATAAATTTCACCTTTACAGGTCTTTGGGTAAAACTTGTACCAATCAATTCCAAGTGGAAACTAAAATAGTGAAAAGCAGAATATTAATTTTGCCTATTTTATTTTCATGACAAAATTATTTCATTCTTATTTTTTTAAATTATAACTCCAATTTCATTTATCATGAAAATTAGAGATCCGCAAGCCCGAGAACGTCTGAATTTTTTTTTAATAGGCCAGGCTGGGCAAATTTTTTTTAATATTTAGTATATTTGTTGAATTCTGATATCTTATGGAAGTGAAAATCTATTGTATAGTGTTTTTAACTTAACCACTCCCCAAGATTATAAATATTTGTTTATTTTGGTGTTCCGCAACATATATTTTAGTTTAGGCCTTGTATTTAAAATCTTTTTAAACCGGGCCGGATCTTGCCGGGCAACCTTAGTAAAAAATTAAAACCGCGACCGGCCGGATAGGGCAAAAAAATTTTGGCCGGGTAATAACTAAATTCCCACTTGGTCGGGCCGGGTCTGAGAATTTTGCCATTAGCAGACCTCTAATGATGCTATTTTGTGAAAATAACCTAAAAATTCTTCCATCCTTTGTTTTATACAGATTATTTATATATAATACTGCCTATATGTAGATTGTATTATATTTCATAAGGTTATTAAATACTTATTGAAATTTTTAAATTTTATAAAGTTCATGATCTTTATCAACTATTAATATACTATATCTATAAATTATTATTTATTATCTTTACAAAAAAGGGTCTAAGAGGAAGTTCAGGAGGGACATCCCACGGTAATGACGCTTTCCCAGGTATGGACGGTCGACCAGGTCGAGACGGTATGCCGGGTCGAGACGGGAACCCAGGGCAAGACGGTCGGCAAGGAGAATCTGGCAAAGCAGGTTCGGACGGAATTTCAGGTCGGCATGGAAAATCTGGATTTGATGGAAAACCGGGTATAGCCGGTAAACCCGGTATTGAAGGAACTCCCAATTTTGAGGTCGGAGATCCGGGAATTTCAGGCGACCCTGGAAGAGATGGCCTTAACGGAGAAGATGGAAAAGATGGCAAGGATGGTGCTCATGGGCTTGACGGGGTAGATGGCAGAGATGGAGACGTGGGGCTACCCGGTCCTGATGTAAATCTTTTTAAACTTTGTATGATATATATTTAGAGGCGAAGAATTTGTTGAACCTTAATATCCCAAATACTATTATAGTTCTTTTTATAGTAAAAAATTATTAGTTAAAAATTAGATGATGAGAATAATAGTAATATTAAAAATAATAATAATTTTTAATTTATATTTTGAAATCCCATTCAAAAAAGGAAAAGTTTCAATCATAAAAGGAAAAGGTTCAATCAAAAAAGGAAAAGGCCCAAACAAAAAAGAAAAGTGTCAATCAAAAAAGGAAAGGTCCCAAAGGTTTAGGAAAAAGTCTGATCAAAAAAGGAAAAGGGTCAGACAAAAAAGGAAAAGTGTCAATCGTAAAAGGAAAATTTCCAAAAGGAAAGGAAAATTGTCAATCAAAAAAGGAAAATTTCCATTCAAAAAAGGAAAACCGTAATTTTTTAAAATTTCTTGTCAATTTTTCTTAAATTTTTATTTATTTTTGTTATTCCTTCTTATTTTTTTTAACCTTTTTGCTATTTCTTTACATTATTTTTCTTACTGTATATTTTCTCACTTTATTTTTCTTCTCATTTTTGATAATTCTTTTGTCTTTTTAGAAATAATTTATAAATTTAGGTCTCAATTATACATAATATTCTTTATATGATTTTTTCTCCTTATTTTGTAATCTTTTACATACATTTCTAACCTTTTCAATATATTGAGTCATTTTTAATCTTTATTTTTTTGACCTTTTTACAATTTTTTTTCTTCTCATTTTTGATAAATTTAATAATAAGAATTTAAAAATGATTATTATTTTACAAATTTACATATCGTTTGGTATTAAAGCTCATACTTATTTATTTTTTAAAAGGTACTTTATAACCAAGAGATTAATTTAATTTAGCGATTGCAATTAAATCCAATAATCATTCTTAAATTCTTATTTTTAAAATTATCAAAAATGAGGAGAAAAAAAATGAAAAGGTAAAATAATAAAGATTAAAAATGACTTAAAGAAATTTTAAGGGTTAATTGTAAAAGATTCCAATATAAGGAAAAAAATCAAAAAGAGAATATTGTATGTATGATATAATAAACATAAAGAATTGCTAAAAAAAATGGACTTAAATTTATAAATATTTTTAAAAAACAAAAGAATTATCACAAATGAGAAGAAAAATAAATTGAGAGAAGATATAGTAATAAAAATAAAGTAAAGAAATCGCAAAAAGTATGAAATAAATTGGGAAAAGATACAGTAAGAAAAATAACGTAACTAAATCGCAAAAAGTTAGAAATACAGGGTTTCCCATTCAAAAAAGGAAAGGTTTCAATCATAAAAGGAAAAGGTCCGATCAAAAAAAGAACAGGATCGATTATAAAAGGAAAAGGTTCAATCAAAAAAGGAAAAGGTCAAAACAAAAAAGGAAAAATGTCAATCAAAAAAGGAAAATTCCCAAAAAGAAAGGAAAAAGTCCGATCAAGAAAGGAAAAGGTTCAATCAAAAAAGGAAAAGTGTCAATCGAAAAAGGAAAATTCCCAAAAGGAAAGGAAAAGTGTCAATCAAAAAAGGAAAATTCCCATTCAAAAAAGCAAAATCGTAATTTTTTAAAATTTTTTGTCAATTTTTTGTCAATTTTTCTTAAATTTTTATTTATTTTTGTTATTCCTTCTTAATTTATATGCGATTTCTTTACGTTTTTTTTCTTACTGATGTTTTCTCAATTTATTTCTAACTTTTTGCCGATTTTCTTTACTTTTATTTTTCTTACTATATCTTCTCTCATCTTCTCATTTTTGATAATTCTTTTGTATTTTTAAAAATAATATATAAATTTAGGTCCATTTTTTTAATAATTCTTTTTAAATTCTTATTTTTAAAATTATCAAAAATGAGAAGAAAAAAAATTGAGAAATGCTCAAAAAAATAAAAATTAAAAATGTCTTAAAGAGATTGAAAAGGTAGAAATGTATGTAAAAGATAACAATGAAAAAATCATAAAAAGAATATTGTATGTTTGATGAAAAAAAAACGTAAAGAATTGTTAAAAAAAATGGACCTAAATTTATAAATTATTTTTAAAAATACAAAAGAATTATCAAAAATGAGAAGATGAGAGAAGATATAGTAAGAAAAAGTAAAGAAAATCGGCAAAAAGTTAGAAATAAATTGAGAAAAGATCAGTAAGAAAAAAAAACGTAAAGAAATCGCAAAAATTTAGATATAAATTAAGAAGGAATAACAAAAATAAATAAAAATTTAAGAAAAATTGACAAAAAATTTTCAAAAATTACGATTTCCCTTTTTTGAATGGGAATTTTCCTTTTTTGATTGACACTTTTCCTTTCCTTTTGGGAATTTTCCTTTTTCGATTGACATTTTTCCTTTTTTGGTTGGACCTTTTCTTTTTTTGTTGACACTTTCCTTTTTTGATCGGACTTTTTCCTTTCTTTTTGGGAATTTTCCTTTTTTGATTGACATTTTTCCTTTTTTGATTGACATTTTCCTATTTTGATTGAACCTTTTCCTTTTATGATCGACCTTGTTCTCTTTTTGATCGGACCTTTTCCTTTTATGATTGAAACTTTTCATTTTTTTGATTGGGACTTTTCCTTTTTTGAATGGGAAACTCTGTATATCATTCCTATAACATTTGAAAAAAATTTTTCAATATCTATTTTAATATGAATAATTATTAATATTAAAAAATATTAAACGGTTATGAAGTAAAGTTTAACATAAAATAAAAAAACTGACTTATAAATGAACCAAAACTTGTCAAGTTGTTGGGAAGAAAACCTAATATATGATTTAGGTATAGGTAGTATGTATCAACTTTCAATTTCGTTTAGGTATTTTTGTATTTATGAAAAATAAAATATTTAAAATAAAAGGTTTCAAAATCTTTATACATAATAAAATATTTTAATTTTTCACCAATATAATATATTTTTATAATGAAGAATTAAAGATATGAATGAATAACCCTTACATATTAGGGCCCAGAAGGTCATACCGGTAGCGATGGAGAACCAGCCATAGATGGTCCAGTTGGAAACAAAGGCCCGAGAGGTGAAAGAGGGGACAGAGGGTTGCAGGGAGCTTCTGGGTCTTCGGGAGAAGCTGGCAGTGGCGGGAGAGCGGGAGCATTGGGACCTCGCGGGGAACCTGGACCTGATGTAAAATTTTGCGATAATAAATTTTTGCAACTTTAAAATATCATTTTTTTGAGAAATTTGCTTTAGTTGGTTTTTTTTATAAAATTCGATATTTTTTCGAAATAAAAAACGTTTTATTGTTCATACATTTCTTCTTCTTTAGATATTGAAAAATCCTTCAATATTTTATATAAAGAAGTATATGCAATTATTAAGACCACATTTTATTCAAAAGTTATAAGAGAAATCAATTAAATAAAATTTACAACAAAAGATTTACATATAATTTTTTATCAACCTGAGATCAGATAAAAATTTAAAAATCAATTAAAATACACGTTAAAAAACAAGGAAAACCATGCTTCCTTCATTATGATTTGATCAATACTTCTTAGCAGTTTTTGTAAAATATCTCACAATATTACAATGTTTGTTGTGACTAGTGTTGTTAAATAATGTTACTGATAACTAGTTATAATTTTGCAAAAAAATAACTGTAACTAGTTATATTTTTTGGAATGTAACTTCTGAATGTAATTAGTTACTTTTTAAATTATTCAAATACAATTTTATTTTAATATCTTATATTTTAATAAATTAATTTTAAATTAAACTTATTAATTTAAAATTTTGATTAAATATCTTTCTGTATGTATGCGGACCTTTTTTATAGTTAATATTGATAAATGATTCAGACAGATACAGAATCATAACCGTAGCCTGGATTTTTTAGGGGGAAATCACTATTATGTGGGTGTTTGCCACATAAATTTTATTGATAGATCCACCTTTGCAGGCCTTTGGCTAGGTTATATTTTTATAAAAATAATTTTGGTTTTCCACTTTTTTCTAATAATTTTGAATTATAGTTGTTGATTGTTTTTTACTTATTTATATTCATTTCAATTCTTCTTTATAGTGTGATATATAGAATATATTTTGGGGAGAGAGGAGGGTGAAAGGAATTTTTATTGGCTTAAAATGATATTTATGAGAACAGACAAATTTCCGAAGGGAAATTTCCCCCTGGCAACGCCTATGTACAGAATTTAATATGAATTCTAACTCTGACTTGTCATTTAATGAGGATGATATTCAAATGATTCAGAATAATGATAGAAATTGTGCCATCTTTCTAAAAGTATTACAAAACAACAGACTTAGATGTTAAAATACCTTAGTAGTATTGTTCAACGGCTCGATTTTTAAAAGGGCCCGATTAAGATTTTAGTCAACATAATAGCCTGAGAATTTGCTCATAGATGGAAAGAAGGTTTTAACCTCTATAATCTCGAGGCTTATATATTCCAAAAAAAATATATTTCAGCATCTAATCCACTGCCAAGCTATGGAAACTCTATAAGATTATTTTCACATAATATGACTTAAATAATTGTACTAAATTTTAGTTAGATGTACATGAAACAAGATATTTGTTTAGTTAAATATTATATAAAAATATCAATTAAATTAAACTAACTAAAATGACTTTAATTACCTTTCTACGAATTTCTTATCATACATTAAATTTAGTAGAAACAAAGATACCAACAAGATCCTTTTAGAAAATGATCATTATAAGAAAGCATATAACACTGCCATATCAAAATGCTAACCTATGGGAAATTTACAAAATAATACTGGGCCATCATCTGAACTAATTAAAAAGAGATTGAATTATTACTTTTTATTATATATAATGTTGTCCTTATACCAAATCCTCCCGTAAAAGGTTTTTTCAGACTAGAGATGCTTATTTTTGAAGCGAAATAAGCACCTCCTTTTGGACAGAAATTTTCAAGGTAATTTATTCTTAAAGGCAAATAGAATTTACTAAGCCCGAATTTTTATAAAAATAATCAGTGCATATATTTCGGTGTAAATATATTCTATATTCGATTTTTTTTTCAGTGTAATTATATTTTTATATAAATAAATTGTATATTTTCTTTTAATATGAAGAAACTTATAATGTAATTAAGTTACTTTTGAAATATAACTGTAACTAGTTACATATAAAAATATCTAACTAGTAACTGTAGATAGTTACCTCTTTATGAATGTAACTAGTTAAGTTTCAAAAGACCACTAGTTGTAACCCATTTCCATTATGTTTAACATCATTTATCAAATAGATCCCAACTAATATTCCGTCAGAGATGATTATTACCATATTTAAATCGACTGCTTTTATTAATTAAAAATCCTATAAGAAAGAAAATAAATCTAAATCGACATTAAATTTAAAATCTTATATTCTTATTATAATGGACCCTCTGTTCCAGCAAATAAACGATAGAAAAATAATAAACCTTGTTATTAAATATTCAACATCAACACTAGCTATCTCTTCAATTTTAAACTTACTTATAAATAATCAATTTAAACATACTATAAATAATTGCCACCCAATAAAAAAATATTTTGCTTAATTATTTTTTAAAGATATTTGCAAAATTTGAATCATTTGTTAACCAATTTTTTTTGCTGATAATCTCCGACAAAGTTTTTAAAAATAAAAATTTAAGCAAAAAATAGTGCTTATGAATTCATATATATTTATATAAAATTGGACAGCTGCCCTTTCATTATATCATTTAAAATGTAAAGGGTGAACCAGGAATGCCAGGAGAAGAGGGTAACTCCGGACCCCGAGGTAAAATGGGACCATATGGCCCGGCTGGCCCTGAGGGCATACCAGGAATACCGGGACGTGATGGAACACCTGGGATACCTGGACTACCAGGCCAGGATGATACTTGTGGATGTGGGGCAGCACAGTCTGGACCATCTTATTTGGGTTCATCCGTTTTCGTTAGATGGGGTGTCGTTTCATGTTTTAGTTCTGAGGGAACTACGACAGTTTATTCAGGTTGAATACTATCCTGTTTATATGTAATTGGTTCATTATTTTTGTTAAGATTTTAATTAAGTAAAGAGAATAATTTAAATTTTCCCCTCTTATCATTAATATGTTTTATATTCGCTCATAATTTAAATTTCAGGCAACTGGCGATTCTCTTATCATTAATAATTTTTCTATTCGCTCGTAACTAAAATTTCAGGCACCATAGCAGCTGGCGATTCAGAGGCACCAGGAAGTGGGGCAAGATTCGAGTGCTTACCTTACAAATCCGAACTGAACATCGATTTTGAATTTGACAGTCGGTCTAAGATATTCGGAGCTGTTTATCTAAACCCAGCCAGGTTGGGTAAAGTGGCGGCATGCGCTCTATGTTTTGCTCCTAGAAATGCCTTGGTCATGGTTCCCGGGGTTTCATTTTGTCCTGGGCAATGGACTCAAGAATATAGTGGAGTTTTGATGGCCGAAGGAGAACATTACACTCGTTCCCAATATATATGCGTCGATAGAGCTCAAGAATCACCTTTCTCCCCTACTGGTAAGCAATTCAGACTCAGAGGACAACATAAAAATCTTGCAGGTCTAAGTTTAGTTGGCCTAGAGTGCGGAGTTCTACCATGTTATCAATACAAGCATAAGGGTCCAATCCCTTGTGTTGTATGCACTTTTTAATCATTTTCAATTAATTTATGAACCAATAATTTTTTTAAAATAATTTTATATTCTGACAATATTTAGATAATTATTCATTCATTTTGGTTATTCATACCAAGCATAATAAATGTTCAATTCAAACATATTCATCTTGAATAAATACAAATATATCGTTGACTTAATAATATAATTCACCCTCAATAAATGGAAAAATGTTTCAAATTTACTATTTAAACATTAAATATTCATGTTACATATTATACACAAAATGAAATATTCTATTTTTTCTATCGATTCTATTCGAATTAATAAGAATAACAAAATTGAATAGGAATTTTAAAAAAATTATTTACCGAAAACCTTATTATTATTCCAATATATTTTTTTACAACTTTATTTCAGCAATCATTTTTAGAAATTTTAATCATCCATATTATAATAGTTTACATCTTTCGGTGAAGGGGGGGGGGGGGGTTCAGAAGTATTCATCACACCTAAATAATCTGAACATCCCTATAATATTTTCTATTTGAATTGAAAGTCTGAATAAAAAATGACCATAGCACCTACTTAAATGATCAGTCGTGTAGAATTAAATATAGATAGAATATAAAATTTAACAAGATAAAATTAATCCATGAGAATTATCAAATTACCTATTTTGGCGATAATTGCTGGCTTCTTGTTATTTCTGAAGGCCTGATTTTGTTAATGTTTTTCTAAATTATTTAATCCTTTTGTGTGTTGAATAAATCTTAAGTGAAAGGTTATTTTCTTCCATACGTTCTATGGCGATTTTTTATTATATAATTTTCACTTAATTATTAAATTGTATTTTGGACCCTGGTAAACACCTCTATATATGACTCGATAAATTCCGGCATTATGATATAGCCAAAGAATCTATCACTTGTATTTTGATTTGATTCACTAATTTTTCTAAAAAAACAGGAAAGATTTGGTGAGAAATGCTAAAAAATTATTTTTGATCAAAATTTAAAAATATGGCAAACTTGTGTATGTGAAAAAATATCTCTTTTGACCAAATTTGAGATATTTAGCTCTTAACTTAAGAGTTAAATAGTTATAGGCGCTTGTCTTCTCATCCTATTTGCCATTTAGCCTCGGTCTACCTCCTTATTAATATTTTATGAAGGAAAAAAGCCTAAATTACCCAATTCTAACATTAGAAATTGCGAAATTCTGACCCCGCCCGAAAATCTATTTACCCTGCCCTCGGGCTAAGCCACGCTTACCTCAAATGCAAATTCTTATATACTAGATGCTTCTCGGATTTGGTGATTTAAATCTAAGAGTTTGATATTTAAATTATTATAAAAGAAAAAAACAATACAAGAAATCTTTAATGATGTTTGATTGTGTATTTTATTTAAATTTCTGAGAATATTATTAGCAAAAGTAAAAACTTTACATATTATTAAAATAAAAATCGATTTTAAGTAAAGATTATTCTTGATTTTAAAAAAGTTGAAGTTGAACTGATTAATGATTTAAATATGGTTAAAAAAAGAATTAACATAAGTTCTGATTTGGAATATTGTATTTAGAATCCTGATATTGAGATTTAGACAAAATCTCAAAATATAATGTTGATTGAGTAATAAAAATAAAGCATTCAGATTAGGTTTTATTTTAGCCATACATATAATTTAATGGTGTATATAAAAAGTAAAAAAAATATATAGTCTTTCTTATAAAATATTTAAAATTGAGCGGCAATGTCATGAGGTTTCTCTTAGAATATTTTTGGGGTAAGAATTCCTTAAATATATTTATCATTAAAAAATATAAATTTGATAAGCATTATTGAACAGTCTATTTTACATATTATATAAAATTAAATACAAATTTTTTAAACATGTTATATCCAAAATAGTTATAAAATATTAAGTTAATATAATTTAGCAAATCATCTCAATAATTAGCATTCCAAAAAGGATTGTAAGTTTTTAAAATAATTAGTTTGGTTTAATGGTTAACAACATTCATATTCAAAATCAGAATCGTATTTGATTTTTGGGGCTTTTCTGAGTGACCTTCTACAGAGACCGCTACCTGCAATACCATTAGATGATTTCCCTAAGTCGGTGTTCGAGTCATTAACGAGTGATTTAGATAAATTAATAGCACGTTTGTAATCAGAGTCGGCCTTTTTACCCGCGCTATTTATACCTGTGGATCGAGTGGAACGCGTATTGTAAGACGAAGCGGGTATATTTTGGGAAGTTTTTATTATGTACCTATTGTAGGTTTCCTTATCACTTGACTCTGAATCACTCTCTCCATTTTCGCCATCGTTTTCCCAGGTAATTTGTTGTTGCTCATCATTTGTGGATGTTGGTTCCGATTTGGGCGAATAATTTATACAAGATTTATTAAAAGGCAATTTTTTTTTGCTTCCCAGCAATAAAGGATCAAGCGTATGATGGGAGACGGTTGTCGAATTCCTGAGACGATATTTTGGGCCTAGTATATTTTTTTAAAGTATTTTATGTGTTAAAATTAAAATGTCAATTTAATTTTTCCCTGAGAAATTTAGTAAAATATTTTACAATACATTTTTAAACATAATTAAAAGAGTATCGGGGTAATCTTCTCGTTTTCTCTCCAGAAATTTAACCTGATTTCCTACCCTAGTTAAAATGATAACATAATTCATATTAACGTGAAACATTTGTTATCTAATGAGAATCGAGAAAATATATACCATTAGAAATAATATTGATAGGTGGTTTAGAATAATGGTCTTTGGAATTTTCGCGGTCATCAGTGTCGCTACTATTAGAATTTGTATTACTTGATGTATATATAGGGGCGCATTTTTTGGATGGCTTAGCCACGTCACTATTTATAATATCAACGAGTTTGTATGAAGCATCGGACACATTAGAACTTTCATCAGATTTGATGACAGTTTTTGGTTGATTTTCTATGACTTAATAAAATTTATTTAAAAAGGTATTATTTAAAAAACCTTCTGGCGTTAAAGAGGACAATTCAATTCTTGATTCAGGGGTTATTGAAAGAGATGATACAAGCAAATCCGATTTTATTTTAGATATGGAGGTGATCACAGTATCTCTTTGACATTCAACATCACTTTCGTCATTGTCAGCTTCCTGACCTATTGTAGATGAGATGAATTTTTTTTTAAATAAATTGATTTTACATTATTTATAATATAGAGGGAAAGCTTTAAAGTTTTACCAGCAATAGTAGTGTTTAAGTTTACTCTATCAGTTGAGATAAAAGGCGGAATTGGATTATCGTCATTATTGATTGCAAAATCATTGGCCACTTGATGCTGGCGAGATTCTGCTGCTATTGATCTCAAACCCTTAAATTTCCCGCGATGATAAGATTCATCAAAAGCACGTATACCACCGGTATCATTTGATGCGTCATTAATGTTCGATTGAGCTATATATATTATACAAGTGTTGGAAAACACAAAAATTCCAATAAAAATAAAATTTAGTATGCATTTTAAATTTTAAAGAATAGAAACAAAAAATAAATTTAATTTTTTGAATATTTTTTTTCAATTTAAAAACCAAAAAAAAATGCTTTTAAAATATAAAGCTGCGCCTTTTGTTCTTCCTAACCCTACTGTTTAGTATTTAAAGATCTTTTTACTTTGTAAAGAAAGATCTATGGTGCGTGTGGGTAACTCCTCGGGTATAAAAGGTATTTGAATATCGGATTCACGTAATAACTCGTGCCTAGTAAAACTAGAAGTAGAAGGGTTTTCATTATTCAAATATTGGTAGTTATAATTATTGATGCAACTCCTTTCCCTGAAAGAATAACCTTCCTTTTTTTTTAAACTTCCGTCATCCATGATCAGCTTTCTCATGCGCTCTTCGAACAAAGCCGATAACCTTAGAGTCATACTGTAAATGCGAGACCTCTTGTTAGTGTTGTAAGCCCTGCTATTAACGAACACCATACGTATATCTCTCCTAAAATCTTTAGGAGAATTATACATGCCCCGGTTTAATTTACTGTATATAGAACCCAAATCAATAGGATACCTGACGATTGTATAATAATCAGAGTATTCGGAACAGTCGACGGGCTTTCTAAAAGGTTCTGAATCCTCGTTGTCCAATAGTTCTTTCATTAAAATATCACATTTCTGTCTCCAAGACAAGTTATTAGCTAATTTTGTAGGAACCCTTGATCGAGAAGCATTATAACTATTTTTAAAGTCAGAAGTCTCGCCATCTATTCGTTTTGCCTCTCGCAAATTTGCACGATCATCCATGAGGCGAGTCGAAGTCTTAGAGGATGTCAGAGTTTTATAAAGGGCCAAAGGCCGGCTCCGTTCGTTGGTAACCAAATCGCAACACAATTGAACCAAGATCTGGGCCCGTTCAACTATAGAGCTTGATGGCTCGTTATAAAGGTTAGCGTTCGTTAGTATAAGTCTGACATCGTAAATCAAAGCGGATGCGCGTCTATAGAAACGATTGGCGCATCGAGCGCTTATAAGATAAAGGTTTATGGGATAAGGTACTATTTGAATGTAATCGGGGTAAATTTCGGAATCAACAGGAGCTAAAAAGGGTTCACTGATGGCCAAGGAGCATATCGATTCCAATCCCCTGCTTATTCTTTGGCAATCATGCTCCTGCCCAAAGGATGACCATTCGTCCGTCTTGGGCATGTAATTTAAAAGGCCCTGTCGTTTCTGAAAATATATTTAAAAGTAATGTTTATTAAAATAAAATTTATAAGTAATGTTTACTAAAATAAATATAATAAATTTTACTTTTATATCCTCGGATTCAACGTGTCCTCCTTCGGGCAATATTTCCATATCCCACGGGCTCAAGGCTTCAGTCTCGCCGGTTTTATCCCAAAGCACCAGGTATTTTAAAAACGAGTCACTATTATCAAATTCCATAGAGGGATATCCAGTAGAAGAGTCAAGAGGTGAAGGGGTATTTAAATTAAAATACTTTATATTCATATCATCCAGACTTTCTATGGTTCCGAGCCACCAGGCGTCATCAATAAATGATCTTATTCTTGTTCCTTTTACGAATGACTCCGTCTCCCTAAGAGAATCCTCGTAAGTCTGTTTGAGCAATAAGAAATCCACGACGCCAGGTACATCGTGGTACTTAAATGAAAAAGAGCCACCCGTAGGAGAACCCGTATCCTTATCCACCAGGGTTAGTTGAACTCGACACAAGCGAGGAGGCTTAATTTCGAAACGCAGGCCAGTGACTCTAGCGAAAACTACGGAAGGCAACGAGGGTTGACGGAAAAAGGGTAGGTTACGAATCTCCAGCGGGTAGATAGACGAATCACGAACAGCGTTGGCATACGCTTCATGGCCTCGCCTGAGGTAAACAACCTCGTCTCCTATCTGAGGCACGAATGGTGACCGTTTTGGGGTGATTTGGCTCATCCAGTCGGGAGGATTAGGCAATGTTTCAGAATGGTGAGATGGGGTTGTATGAGATGTGTGATAGGAAATAGAATTATAGGATGTAGAAGGATGCGAATATAAATGGGAGGGTATTTTGCCGCGAGTGAAGTAAGCGTGGGCAGTAGTTGAGAAATTGGTTGGGTCTTTTATATTGAAAATATGAGAATCCTTTATAAAAGGAGATTTGTCTTGGGATATCTTCCTACATTCTATGTTGGTAATAACACTTTTATTAGGAAACTTTTGTATACGGCTGGAAGGTCTAAGGGACCTGTTATTATTACTTCGTATATTTTGGGAAATGTTTAACTTACGTCTTCTGAGTTGGTAGTAAGACGATGAATTACCCTGATTATTTAATGAAAGGCTGGCTAAATTTTTGACCTTTATTTTGAGATCAGAAATATCGCTAGATTTTTTAATCAAACTAATAGCTTTAATCGGGGGTTCGGCCAAATTTTCATTCTCATTGTTATCAATGGAAGATACTTTGGTTTCTCTGTGACTTCGAAAATAGTATCCTTTGGGCTGAATGCCGATATTGTTTCGCATAGCATGAGAATGAGGCGATGGATCTTGGATTAATCTATTAGAATTCGTCGAACATTCGAATCTTTTAGAGACGGTATCAGAATACGACTTACACATCGCTTCTATACTATTGTTTCGTTTTGTCCTAAGGCACCAACGGTGAGGTGGGTCGATATTAAGCGAGTGTACATGATTATATTTATACCTTGAGTTATTATTTTGATCGTCGGAAATATTATATACAGCTGTTTTGGCAATATGAGACACAGCTTTACTAATGTCACTCTGTTTAGAGAGCAACCTTGTTCCCTTAGTAAAATTCTTTCGTGAATGATTTAATCGTTTCCTCCTGCCATATATTTTATTGACAACATCGTAACGTTTATTGCGGCGAGTAGTAGTAAGTGACGAATGTGATGATGATCCAGTAGAGTTACTCTGAGATGGGGATGATGAATTTCTGGTTGAAGTAGCGATCTTTTCAATATTATGATTGTTTAATAAATTTCTTGGAGTTGATATCTTTCTCTTGCCAATTTTAAAGCATCTCTTATTAATTTTCGATGTAACGATCAGATCATTTCGTTTCTTACGTTTCCTACCCGATATTTGGGATGGTATGGTAATGGGAATAGATTTTGAGGAAGGTAAAGAAACGCCGTGTTCAATTTCCCAATCAGAATAAACGGTACTATCGCTTTCCTCCTCGTCTATATCTCGAGCGAAAGCAGGAGGCAGATGTTCTGTGACCATATAAATAAAATTTTATATATATTATACGATATTTATGCTACACATACAAAAATACGAATCGAATATTTGCATTGGTGCTCTGCATCGGGTCTAATTTTTCAGCCCGACCCGAAGTTTTTTTTTAAAGTTTGTCCTGTCCGGCCCATTTTTGAACAAATTTTTCTTTTATTTGTCCCGAAAAGTCATCCCAAAAAAATTGTCCGCCTGGCCCGAATTTATTTTAATATAGAAAAATTTAATATTTTTTTTGATTGTAAAAAATATCCTACAAATAAAAAGAGTCTTTTTTTCTTGCAAGAATTTTAAAATATATCAATCTATTTAACAAAATGTAATATCATTTTTAAAAAACTTAAGCCTGCCCCGGCCGGGCTCGATTTTTTTTAAAATATTAGGCCTGACCCAGCACGAACAGAAATTATTTTATAGAAATCGACCTGAGGCTTGGGCCGGGTACGGGTCGAGTTATCGGATAAATTTTCATTACTCGTATTCGATTAGTAATTTAGAAACAAATAATTTTATTATTCGTATTCTTGCGAATCAAATGATTTCTTATTAGTATTCGTATGAATAATAAATACATTATTCGATTCGATTCGAAAATTAAATTCTTTTAAAATATTTTTTAAATGAAATATTAAAAAAGTGATTTATAAATGTGGATAAGTTAAAATTTCCGCAAGGAACATGCACGTTAAATATTTAAGAATAATTTTAAATATTTATGAATAATTTTAAATATTTATGAATAATTTTGTAAATTTAAGAATAATTTAAAATAATTCGATAGAATAATAGATTAAAAATTTCGAAGAATAATATATTTTCCTTATTCTTATTTGATTTTAATTTTCAAATTGAACAATTTTGTTATTCGTAAAAAAGGAATTAAACAGAATCATTGATTTTAAGTGTAGTTTCCCTTACTTGAAATATAAAAAAAATTGGTTTGAATCCAAATAACAAAAAAAGTTATTTTAAAAACAAAAAAAATTCGACTTTTTTATGGTTTTTATGAGCCATACTCTAAAATTAGTTTCATTAAGAAAGAAATAGGTTTATATCTGCAACCTTTTATATTATTTTGAGTAACGTTTAATACTACCCTAAAAATGTAGGTTAATGTTAAAACTAACCATTTGGTTAAATTTCTAACTATAATGAATCTCCCATCCCAATGATTTAATTTTATAAAGCTTTACTTCAACTTATTAAATTACAAATTTAAGATAAGGAAATAATTAAAATGTCAGATTTATTATCCTAGTCAGGTTGTATAAATATATTTAAACATATGAAAACAAATGTGGATGAAATAATTATGCAATGTATCCTTTTTTTAGAATTTCAGATCGCAAACATACAAACAGGGATTTCTCACAGGAGGGGGGGGGGTAAGGATCATTAAAAAATTGGAGAAGGGTGGGGGTATGGGAAAGTTTTGATTTCAATTTACCTTCTTTTTTTGTTAAATTTGATTTTCATTTTAGATTTTGTTTTAAATTTTCTAAGAGACCAAATTTATAAAAAACCATCAAATGAAACTTATTCACATTCATCGATACAGTTCTTCATTATCCAGAATATGTGAATGTTACAGTCAATAGGCATATTGCCATAGTCAAATCGTGTAATATTTTATAAGTGTCGGAAATAAATAAAATAGGTATTCTACCACGTGCTAAAATACATTTCTGAAAAAATTAGTTTTTCCATCCTTTCTTAAATTTAAAAAAAAACGCTAAATAAATGATTTAAATTTTATAAAGGGCACAAGTTGTAAAATACTTAATATAAATTTCAGATAATTTAATCACAAACTTTTGAATCTTTAAATTTACATACTAGCATGTAAATTGACTGTAGCATGTATAATATCTAACAATTATTTACCTTTGCGACTGTGATTGCCAAATGTTGGAGATAGGGATGGAGATAAATTAATCATAGCGGCGTTTTTGTTTCTCTTTATTATACTTGCACTACCAATGACCTTCTTTATATTTTTGTCGCGTGAATTATCGGATGAGTGGTTAGGTAAGTTTATGTTAAGACTAGATTTGAAATAAGATTTTGAGTCGGATATAAATAAATCTCCTTTTAAAATATCCCCTGGTTTGACTATAGGTTCTAGTTAATGAGAATTTAAAATAATCAGTAATAAAGTGAATAACAAATAAAAGATTTAATTAGCGTTGTTAAACGGCTCGATTTTTAAAAACGGCTAACCCAATATTTTAGCCAAAAGTTATTATAAAAACCTGGAGATTTTGCTTATAGATAACAGAAAGGTTTTTATTTATTAACAAAATATCGAGGTTTAATATTACTTTGGCAAAAATTCTAATTTATCATCGGCTAAATCCCATTTAATGACACCATATTTTATATAAATTAGTTGTTTTTTTTAAATTTAATTAACTTGATTGAGATTTAGTTTCATATTTAACATGATTTGGAATTGTATCAGAATTAGCAATGAATGATTTAGCAGTTCGACTATCTACAGTGTAATTTGTTGAAGCAACAACAGAACCTTTATCAAGGCATGAACTATAGTAAAAATTTAAACGAGCAGCCCTAATTTTGCGTTTATTATCATCGTAAGTGAACTCCTGAATTTCCCATTCAGAACAAGATTTCTTTTTTTCCACCTGGCATCTGTAAAAATAGTATTTTTATATAATTATCAATTTATTTTTAAAATTCTTTCTTTCATTTATGCATTCTTTTTCTTTTCTTTCATTAAATAAAAATAACAACCTTATGATGGCGTCATCTATATATTTGAGGTCTGAGGTGGAGTTTTTATTGATATCTACGTCAACTAGATATTAAACATGAATATAAATATATAGATATATATAATAATTAATTAAAAGCGAAATATACATCTTTAAACATCCATTACCTATTACACTTTATAAAAAGAAATAACCTGTTTCATTATTGACAAGATCAGGTATTCCAGGTGTTTCCACGTGGACACTATTTGAACCAGGAATAACATTGTTATTACGGTCATCCTGATCATTTTCGCTGTATGGCATATCCATTATTTCCATTTCACCTTGAGTTTACATTAATATACAAATATATTTATATTAATGTCTAAAACTCACAGGTAATGTTCGCTTTAAAAATACACCTCACGCTGAAAAATCTTAAATAGAGCTATGTCGATCTATAAATTTTTTACCGATCCGATCCGATATTCTTATAAACTCGACTCAATATTAATATTAGATATCCGCAAATCACGACCCAGGCCGTAAGGGTTTAGGGCCGGGCCTATTAAAAAATAATCATTTCTGTTCAGGCTGAGGCGGGCCTAATATTTTTAAAAAATTTCGGGTCGAGTTGTCAAATAAATTGATATATTTTAAAATACTTGCAAAATACATATTGATCTCTGGGTTACAAAAATTGTTTATAATGTGAGAAGATTATTAAAATATAAAAAAGTACAAAAAAGCTTAATAAAACACAAAAAAAATCCTAAAAAACACATATTGCTACATTTTTAAATATATTTAAAAATTTAACAAAAAATGATCATAAACACTGGACATTCAATAAAAAAATATATAACCCTAAGGGTGAAATTATGAATAATAATAAATTTCTTTACACTCCTCCCTCCCTTAAGGCAACCAAGTTTGCCTAAGCTCCTATTTATTAAATATATGCGTCGTAAAAATTACTAACATAAAACAAAACAAAAAAATTTGCAATAAAAGGAAAATTATATGACAATATATATATATTATTGTAGGGTTGATTCAGAATACCAAGATAATAATACACCAAAAAAATATGACTACTAAAAAAAATAGGACTCCCCCCCCCCCCTAAATTTTACTAGGGCCTTTTCAATTATATAAAACATAAGTAATTTCTATAATGTAAACTTTTTTTTAAAAAAATAGTTTCGTATATAAAAATATTTTGAAATAGTTTTTATGTAGTGTTTCGTGCTTTCTTGTTAGCTTTGTGTGGTAGGTTTGTAATCCTTGTTTTCTGTGTTTAATAGTACAAATGGTTTCGTTACGGTTTTTTCTTACTATTCCTTTTCCATCAGGGATATTATGGATGTGGATCCATACTTTATTTCCTTCATTGTACGTTTTCTGGGCTATTTGGTAGTTGTCCTAGTTGGGGATGAGATTAGAGAATATGATCTAAGGGTCCACGTAATTTATACCAAAAATAATGTTGAGGTGTGTGGAGTTATTATGTATTTGTCAGGGTGTTTTCTTTTTAGATATTGCATTGTTGGCATAATTCATAGTAAGCCTGTATATCTGTGTTAATTGCTGGCCAACATATATAAGCTCGGGCCGATTCTTTCATTAGTATAATACTTGCATGTCCTCGATGCAGTTTCTGCTAGCAAAGATTGTGGTAATATTATCAATTATAAAATAATCAAAAACAATAAAAATATCGGATCATGTTTTTATAAATATCGGCCGGCTAAATATCAGCCCAGATACTATATTTAATATCGCCACAGCCCTAATTTTAAATATCATAAGACAAATTCTAATCACCGATATTATTACCTAATTACATCTATACTTTTCAATATGGGTAGTAAAACCAAAAACAAATATATTTTTAATATTTTTGTTTTTGGATGTGTGTGATTTTGAATATTTAAATTGAAATATTTCTATTGTTTTAAAATTTAGTTTAAGTATGCATTTGTTATTTTAAAAAGATGAATGTTGAACACGTTTTTTGAAAAATGTTTACAGCACTATAAAAATCAATAAGAAATTGTTTTAAAAAAATTAAATTATCCTGGTGAAAACCTTATATTAAAAGGTAAGAAAACATATATATGATTTAAATCAGAGAACTGCAATTATACCTATTTTCAGCCCCATGTTAAAAAAAATTCCAATTTACAAGTCAGCTTGGTTCTAAGAAAAATAGTTATTGTCTTGATTCTTTTTTAATATTTAATAATTTTACAGCTCGACCCAGGTTTAAATTGAGCTATTCTAAATAATTTTGCACATTCGAAAGAAAATCGAAAATCTAATAAACAAATTCTTTTAATCATCGAGTAATTTTTTAAACGTTTATTATATATTAATTAATTTTTTTTTATATTAAGTTAAAACCTGATTCGATATCATTTTAAGGTCTGGGTAAGACATTGGTATGGACTAGCAAGTTTATAATTAATATAATTTCAAAATAACCTCTTTCGTTGGGTAACACGTTAGGAACCAATTGCTCCGTTACACAATTATAACGACCCGGCACTCTCCTCTGAATGTGGGTAGGGTAAGGGTTCCCGTCTATATCGACCAAAAAAGGCGGGGGCATCAGGTGGGGCTCTACATGAGTTTGTTCATCTATAACATGATTATTAGCATCTCTGACCAAAGGCCTGAAATCGGTGTGGAAAAACTGTTCCCTCGGACACTGTATATTTTATATTTTTTTACATACAAAAGGAGATTAGCATAACAATGTTCGATTCGCCTAAGGTGCCTTAAAATTTTCATAGATACTTATATGGATCTCTATATAAATATTCAATAATAATTTTAATATAAATCTTCCCAAAAATATTTATCAAGGGAGAGAAATTTAGTATCACTAACAATGAACTTAGTTATTTAAAAATAAAAAAATTCGTACATTGTCTGAAATTATTGTGCTCAAAACTTAGAAAATAATTTAATTAAACTATCCACCCCACCCCTTCCATCAATATGTTTTTGTTCCACTTCTGGATATATTTTGGTCCTCTTCGGAACTAAATAAATATTTAATTTATTCCTATAATTTTTTTTTATATTAAGCCCTTAAATTTGCAGCAGTTTTTCTTCAACTTCAAGAGTTTTTCTCTTTTTTATTAATTTGAGGGGGGATATTATGTCCGAGAAACAATAATAATAACAAATTGGGAAAGTTAGAAATATGTTCGAATTAATTGTGAAAATAATTTATAACTTATAATACATTATTATAAGCATCACTGTAACCGAAACCGAATATACTAAGTTGACCGTGAGAGTCCGTGGCGGCCATGAGCAAACCGTGTGGCGAAAATTTGCAATCAAATATAGCGCCGTGGCCATAATTTTCTATCTATAGGAATTATGTGTTCGAAAAAAAAATAATCAAAATTTGTATATAATTAAAGATCGATTCTAAACAAAATCAATAACATGAAAATATTACAACACTAGAATGACGATCATTGTAACGGGATTAATAAAAGTCAGCTGTTCTTTATTTTGATTCCACTAGATAATAAAAAAGAGTAAGTATATAATTTCACAATTTTATCTTCATATTTTTTATTTTTTGTATAACAAAACATGACCTTTTACGTGACTCTTGACATTCTTAATTAATGATTATTTATAAAAAAGAAGAATAGTATTTTTTTAAAAAATGTAAATAGGAGAGTTTTATATATAATATTAATATAATTTTAAACATAAATATAATATAAAGTATCAAATAGCAAAATACTTAATTACTTTATATTATCAAATGTAATCAAAATGGCGAACAGCTTACTTTAATTAGTCCTGCGTCATATTTCATATTAATAATACGATTATCACATGTCATTGGATATAATGGTATAGCATTTTACGGAGTAGATTAAAATTCCAAACTTATAAATATTATTTCAAACTTGCAAAATTTCATTTCGAACTTTTGTATAAATAGCGTTTCAAGCCAAAGCTATAATTCAATTCTCCTAATATACCTATTTTCCGAATTAACTTTATATAATCTAAGTTTACTGCTTCTTTTATTTTTAAAGTTGCAATAACAGTTTAACCGTATTATTAATAAATATATAGAATATATTTAAATAACACCTTAATTAGATTAATGAAAATGATTAAAAGATATAAGATATTTTTTAAATTACGTTGTTAAAAATTTTATTGACTGCTATTCCCGACGATATATCCCACAATATAATATACCCATCGTGACTTGCACTAATCATCAAATTAGGATCTTTGGGATGTTGTTCTAATACAAATATGTCGTCTGAGTGAGCCTAGATATCATTATAAATTATATATGCATGTTATCATTTATTCAGTAATGTCTAAAGAAGAAAAAAGAGTGTTAATCATGCCGAAATCAAGAAAATTTAAATTTTTTGACGCTACTAAACTTATTAGTAAAAAACGTTGTCATCTTATGATTTGCCTAACCATAATCGTAAAGTCAGTTGATCGTAAATCCATCCAGTTTTTTGATTTGCTTATTTTATAGTTGAAAATTAAGATTATATATTACTTGGAATTATCTGATATATTAAATAAATGAATAAATCGAATAATTACTAGCATATAAATTCATTAATGATGTCATCCATTTTGACAGAATATGGACATGATCAAAATCTTAGGATCAAAGGAGGCCCTACCATCTTTATACTGTAAAATTAGTGAATCTTAAGGTGTTTTTTCATTTTAAAAAATCAGAAAGGGCCGGGGCAAAACTCTTGCAAAATTAATCGCGGAATTTATCATAATGTAGCTTTAATAATCACCTATTATTATTGTTTTTAAACGTTCAATAAATTTTTAAAATGTAAATAATTTAATAACTCGGAATGAGCCAACTTAATTTTCACGATAAATAATCTAGTTTTTTTTTATTCTCTTCGTGATTTCCTCATCACTTTAATTTCAAACAATATTTTCTCAATTTGAAAAAAATTTACAAAAAAATCTTTGAAAAATTTAATTTACGCATGAAAATTACAAAATTCCGGCATACTTTGGTAAACTTTGATTAAAAATCTCTATTCTTCAAAAGAAAATTTTCATAGATTTTTGCTCAAAATTTTTTTTTCGCAATATTTTTGTGGTACAATTGCTTAAAAGTAAATTGTAGATAGACACGCACAATATGAAAAGTTGATAAATAATACCCAACTAAATTAAATAAATTATAAGATTTATGAATTTAATTTAATTTTTTTCTTTAAAAAAGTCATAAAGAATATGGAGCATTTTGGAGGGACCGCCCCAAAAAAATTTTCTGGCCCTCTATAGAAGACATTTATTATTATTGCGTTTAATTTTTAAGTGAATATTGTAATTTTTATATTCAATTATTAAATTATGTCTATTTTTAGCTATAAAAAAGGCGCGTACGCAAGAATTAGCGGTCAAGCATAAATGTATTAGGACTAATAACTATTTCTAATAAACAATTTTAAATTAATGTGAATTAAAAAAATTAAATATATATAAACCGACATATAAAAGACTTTAAAATGAATATGAATTAAAAAATATTAATCGGATATAACCGGCGGCATATAAAAAACTATAAAATATATGACCTAAAATAGAAATTTGAATTTTCGAGCCTTTAAAATTTATTTATAAGGTATAAAAAATTTAAATGTTGGAGATATAAATATACAAAAAGTTTTTTAAGAATAATTGTATTTTGCATGTAATAACTTATAAAGTAGTCATGAAAAAATATATAACACACTGTAAAATAAAATTGCACAAAAAATATTAAGAAGCATATTATATATTTATAATGTAAATCCAATTTTTGTTGGGATTGAGCTAATTTTGAATTATCTCATCCGTGCTTTATGTCAAATGCCTATGAATGTTCAAAAGGGCTAAACCATTCAATCTACTTTCAGATATTGCACTTCTTATGTATGTTTTTATTCTTCTTAAAGAGAACGTTCCCTCATTAGTTGCAGTTTTAATAGGAAGAGTTGCTAATATATATATAATAATTTTAATACATTGGGAAAATAATCTAAAAGATGTTTGAAATGATGCAAACCATCCATAGCATTTATTGGGATTATATCAACCATAGTTAATCCATAATACCATACCTGGCATTCAGCTAATAAGGCATCATAAGATACTTTAACATCTTCATAGTTAAAATCTGCAAATATTTTTTTTTATCACCATCTGAAAAAAGTGGTAAGGCTTTTGTGGAAGTAATATCTGCAGATTGGTAAGTGCTCCCTGATGAATTAAAAGCCGATTCAATTGGGTTATAAATGTATCTAAGAGAGGGATAAAGATATTTATTTTATAATACTCTTCTAATAAGCCTATATTAATGTTTGAACGATAAGCTTACCTTGTTGCAATTTGCAAGTCGAGGGAGACAAATATTAAACTCGTATACTCAACAATAACTTATATGAAATTCTTCATCAACAATAGCCTTAATTGAGTTCTAATAAAATGCTCCCCGCTATTATCATCGTAAGTCAATGTCATGTTTTTGAAAAGTAATTTCATGACATAATTAAATCCATTTTCAAAGTAGGTGTTCAAAAAAGTTAAACCTCCATAAGCACATAAAAATGAAAAATTATTTATTAAATATCAGCCAAATTATTTTAAATACTGCCCATGAAAAATAATTAATTGCCCAAAAATTTAAAATACTTACCAAATGTTTTTTCTACTGCTCATTTAATTAAAATACTGCCCATTTTGATTAATTTTACTGCATATTTCTTATTAAAAAACTGCCCAAAAAATTATTTTGTATAACTAACCTTTTGATGGCTCTATATCCTGACTCTCAATTATATCATCAATTATTCTTCCAACTATTCTTTCATTATTTGTATTTATTATGGGAGTGATTTTAATTACTAAGAGTAAATATTATAAAATGTTTAAAAATTATCTTTTATATATTTTTGCTTTTTTTGTAAATGACTAGGATTCTTAATTTCATCATCATCAAAAATTTCCTTATATCCTAATTCTTATTTGACTAGAAATTTGAAAATAGTAGATAAATATTTTGATAAAATAATTAATAAATAAATGTGATAAATAAATGTAATTAAATATATATTTATAAGAAAGAGATAGGAATAAATATTATAAAATGTAAATTAATATAAACAATAAAAATTTTTTTAAATATATCCGGCACCTGCATTTTTTGGCTTTGGGGGGGGGGGGGGGGTGGATTTGTTTCCCTTCCCCCCCCACCCCTTCCCGCTGCATATGCGCCTGCTATAAAACCATTTATTTTTCGAATTTTCAAAAGTCTAAAAAAATTCCCCTTATCAATAATCATCGATTTCATAAAAAAGTAGGTTGACCATATTTTTTATTTTTTTTTACCGATAAAATCTCATTTAAAAATATTCGATTTTTTTTTAAATTTGATAAAAATTGATAACGAGGAAAATTGTTCTTAGAAACTTTAAAGTGAAAATAATTTAATAACTTTGAATTATATATATATTTTTTAAAAAAAATTAATTGTATGACGACATTCATTATAAAGTGTACACATATGGGAGTCAGATGTAGCGTCTTTGGGGTTAGCACGTCAATTACGTTACATAAATAGTGAAACCACAAAATGGCGCTAAAGCTGACTTTTCTTTCCCAGATCTCTAGGTAAGCTTTAAATTGTTAAATACTTAAAAAAAATTATGAACTATTAATAAAAGATTACACAATGACATCTTTCATGGGCAAGTAATTTTATAATAATTTTGCATTAAGACTATCACCATAAAATATTCAAATAACGATTATCTTATATTCTTTTTTAAATAAGCATATTTCAATAATGTATTTTTTTTAACTTTTAATTCGTGGAGTAAGTAGCCTTTATAAGGATTCCATATCTTAATTCTAAAGTTACTCATAGCTGTTAAAACCAGGCTATCATTACAATTCCATGATACCATTGAAACTTTTAATTTAGAATATTTACTATCATCCTCTTTAGGAGCGCTAAGGATATATTTTTTTCAAAAAAAAAAATTGTAAACTAAATGCTAAATTTACATATAATATCATTATAATCAAATTCATAATAGTAATAATTTTAATCTAAGCGCTTCCCAAATTCTTTTTACTTCGGTAATTTAGTGGCCATTTGTAATGTTAAAGGAATCCATTTCCGGTTCACCAAAGTCCAAATGCAAGCCAGTCCATCTTTGCTGCCAGTTATAAAACGTAGAGAATGATTTGCAAATTTTATGCTATCGACTCTATCCTAAAAAATATTATAATTATTTTTCTAATTAAAAATAATTATAAAAGTACCCTTCTCTAGGAAATGATTTACAATAAAAGTTGTCTAGATTGGAACCTTTTGGCTCAATTTTTTTTAAGATCGATAAAATTTAATATTTGGTTAGGACCAAAATTCGCTGCAGTAATTATTTGTTAATAAAAAATCGTGCTTAAATGTAAACTATTTAGGCGGGTATGAGAATATAAAGAGGGCAAAATATGCTTTTAATTGGTATATTTTAGAGAGCACTGGCGCCAGATCTTTAATAATTAATCGACCGATTTAACTACTAAATCTTATAAAATCTAACTCTCTTATACGTGAAATGAAAATTAATTCAATTATTTAAATTCAACTGGCATATAAAAAAAATGAATCGGGAAAGGGAATATTATATTTCGGTGTCATTTTGTCACTAAATTTTAACTTTTTTATATATATATCAATCAATACAAATATAATCTCGATTCAATATTTTATTAATCTATAGATTAATTTTTCTTTACTTTGTTTGTTAATTCTACATTTTCCATTTATTTTTTGTTACTTTTGGATATGCTTAATCTCATGTATAAATTAAAAGAATTAATACTTTGGAATCTTTTCAGCCAATTATATAAGGCATATATTAGGTTTAAATTTCCATTTTAATGAGATGAAAGCTAGGAAACAAATTAGAGAGGACTGAAGTGTCTGTACCAACTTGCTCCTGTTTCCTATACTTTTAGGATCTTATCGTAATTATAAAAACATTCAATGCAAGAAAAATATATTAAAATATTTAGTTCCGTTGATTTGAAAACAATAATTAGTTGCAAGCTAAGCTAAAGCAAACTTTACCTTCGCCTATGTAAAAGTAATATTTAATTTATTAAAGCTATCGAAACTTTATTTAAGAAGTCAATTAGAACAATGGGCCAAATTTAGTAAGTGCAATAAATCGCGATATAGATTACACTCACAATTATTTATAACCAAACAAAGTGCCAGCAAGTACTGGAGGGTCTGGTGGCAGCCCCCAGGCCGTTTTTTGGACGGATTTTGATTTAAAATAATAAATATGCCAATGTCTCTAGAATATATGTATAAAACCGTCTTGAAATATTTAATAAGTAAAAATTTTAAATTAAAAATAGTTTGAACCAGAACCAAGAGTATTTAAAAATAAAATTCCAAAAAATACAAAATGTTTCACCGTATGTGTTTCCAGCTCATCAATTTTCTCGGGTCTTTCATTGCCGAAATAATATATCCTCGTGAAATGATCTGAACCACCGGCTGCCAAAAAAACACCGCCTTGATTATTTTTATTTAAGTTATAAATTATATATTTATAGATTGATTAAACAAACCTGAACTGAATGACGAGCATAGCATTTGGTTTCCAGGTTTAGTCCTTTCAATAAATTTGATGGGAATGGGACTAAAATTAATTTTAAAATGTGCAATTTGAATGTGATTATAAAATATATACTCGAATTCTTGTTGTTTGCAACTATATGTCCATATACAAACATTTCCATCGTTTCCAGATGATACAAGGTACCTCTTATCGGTCAAACAATATGGGGAAAACTAATTTTATAAATAAAATTTTAAGGTTTTCAAAATTAATTTAACAATATTTATATTTCTTAATAAAGATAATTAATAAAATTTTAAAAAAATCCAACTTAAAAATTAAAAGATTTTGAAATCATCTCACTTGTAACATAGTAATCATGGCCGAATGCCCGGTTAAAATAGCTATGGGACAAAAGTTTTTAGACATAGACCAAACTCTGATGATTTTGTTGACACTACTAGCAACAAGTAAAGTGTTTTCCCAATCGATAGCTAAGTCTGTTATTTGAGCCGAATGGCCTCGTAATGTAACCAATAGCCTTCCATCCCAAGCGCCCCAAATTTTTACCAGATGATCGTCTGCCCCCTATTAAAAATAGATATGTTATATTCTTTTATTACAAGTTAGTCTTAAATTACTTTTACAAATAAATAAGATAACAATATTATAATAATCCGATAAAAGTGATCTTTAATGCAATATATCAAAATAATTAATTTATAAATAATATATCCAGTGCTATTAAACGGCTTGAGTCGGAAAAATATTGCCTAAACCTGGAGGAGATTTCGCCAATAGATGTTCAAACATTGTGCCATCTATAAGCAAAATTATCAGGATATCGTAATATTTTTCCCAGAAAAATATTGAGTTAGCCATTTTTAAAAATCGGATCAAATCGCCCGTCTAACAACAATAAAAATATCTACAAAAAAATTAACCGAATTATTGTATTCGTATTCAAAAATTCAAATGGAATACCTATTTCACTTAATCATAAAAGCGACATTCGTCTCGAAATGAATTCTTCCCTCAGTGGCGTATCCAGGATTTTCTTATGGGTGGGGGGGGGGGATTTTTTGGGGGCTTCGCCCCCGAACCCTTCTTACCTGGCCTTCGGCCAGCTTTCCCCGGCCTTCGGACGGGTCTTATGTTTTAGCTATTCTATTAAATTATTCATAATAATTATATTTCTATTTTTAACTATTATTTACTAATTCGCGCTTATGGATATTACAAGCTCATTTTTTATTATTTTAAGTTAGGTATATTATATTTAATAAAGTTTTAAATGTAAAGTTGAAATAAAGTTTTATGTCATTTTTTTTATAAAATTTGATTTAAAAACTAGCCTCAGCTTAAATTCTCATACAATATAAGTAGAATATAATTTTTTTATTGAAAATACTAATAGTAGTGTGTATAAAATATTGACTAGAAAATAATTTAAAAAAACATCAAATACAATATTATACAAAATATTAAATACTATAATTATAATGTGATTTTTAATTTTCGTGGGAATGTTGCCAATTTATCAAGAATTTCGTTTGTCGTTGGAACCAAATTTAGCCGAGATTCGGAAGTAGTACTTCGTAAATATGTTTTCAATCTTCTTAAGTTGGAAAAAGTCCTTTCATTCGTAAATGTTGTAATAGGCAAACATGCAAGAAAACAATTTCAAAATATTAGGAAATTAAGCCAAGGTTTCTTTACACCGATTGAGTGCATCAATAGCATGCTTAGGTAAAATAGCTAAACGTAGTAAATATTTATACCACAATTCGAATTCACTGATTAAATCAATTTCAGTATCAATATCATAGGACTAAAATTTTGCTAAATATTTAATTTTACCAATAGTGGCATTAGAAAACGAAGAAGGATCTTTGGGTAATAAAACTTGAAGATTGCTAAGGACTTGTTTTTTTTATCTAAAACCGGTACTTTTATTTGGGATAAAAAAGTATCTAAGAATGGGATGAAAATGGATATTTTTTAATATTCTTCAGTTGAGCCAATATTTATTTTACATCTCAATAATGGCCTAGGGGCTAGACGAAATTAAATTAGTGTTATATCATAAAATTTAGTCTTCGATTCAACGTTTAGATAAATATTATGAAAATATTTATCTACATTCATTCTTATGGTATCTACCTGTTCATATATATTTTCCGCCAAATCAATAACCTGAACCAAATCTAAATTTGGTTTTTGTAAATTTCTACAAAGTAGAGCTATAGGAAAATAATTTATTTTTGCAACTTGCAGCAATGATAAACTCTGATTGATCAATTGAATTCAATAATAATATCGCGTCTGACGACACATTACTTTTTTTCATGCTCAGCCTTATTTAACTTTTATATTTCTATTTCATCTGTTCTACATAATGGAAGTAAAATGAAAAATATTTAAAAAATTATAGATATTTATTAATAATTAAAATATTATTAAAAATACTTATTAATTCTAACTCACTAATAATTTTGAATTTAATAAAATAATTATATATAATAATAAAATAAATTACCGTTTGATTTCAATCTCTTTGACTAAAAATTTTTCCATTTTATTAATATGTTTGAATAATATGTTGGAAAATTGATATTCAAATATTTGTAAATTTTTGATTAGAGGGAGGGAGGATATGGGGGGGGGGGGTAAATTTTTATTAGCTTAAAATGATATTTATGAAAACAGTCAAATTTGCGATGCCCCCCGGCCCATTGATTACACGCCTGTCTTGCATTATAAATTGTTTTTATAAAGGGACTATTAAATTTTGTAAAAATTGTTTTTCAGAAAAAAAAATTACAAATTGTATTGAGTAGAGTAGATAAAAAATCGAAGTAAAAGAGTGTATTTATAAATTTATTTAAAAAAATAATATATTAATAAGCTGAAGCAGATAGATGATAACTATAACAAAATCAAATTATAGTTATAAAGATTAATTATATATTGATAAAATAAATTCAATTTAAAGCAATATCCAAATTTTGTTCGTCCTTAATCAAATTAAAAATCAATTTATTATTCTATTATTTTATTTCTTAGAAATAATTGAAGTAGGAAACATAAGTAAAAGGTGTTTCGTTCTTTCTTTAAATAGATTCAAATATTTATGAATAATTTGCGAATCAAATATTTTTCATTTACCGATCAATATTTATGAATATTATAAAATAATTAAGAATGAATATGAAATTATTTGGGCGAAAAATGTATTATCCCTTCGATCCAATTCTCGAATTGAATTATTCGTGAAATATGAATCGAATAATCCGTTTTAAGTAATAGGTATAATATATAATAGAAAATATGTTTTAATTATTTTTTTACAGTTATGATATAATGGCCTGTGCGATCAAAACAAACGCAATAAACGGAAGATAAATGACCCAAAATACAGGTATACAGTGAGAAATGTTTCTGGTAAGCAATCGTAGGTAATATATGTTCGGTTCGACCTGTTCCCGTGATTTCACGTCCAATAATGGCTCGAACTTTTATTTAAAAAAATTATAAAAAGTTATGGATTTGTTGTATTCTATTTATATTTTAGACAATTTGAAATATCTTTATTTTTTTTAAATTCATACTTTGCTGAGGAATTTTGTGTTTATTGTGAATAGATGTGCACGGAGGGCGCCCGTTGAAAGCTTTAGTGTAGACAAAAGGGTGATGGTAATTTTCGGCATCTTTTATTTAATTTTTTTTTAAAATAGTTGGGTAATTTTAAATTACTTGAAGATTCCAGAGTGTGAAATAAGGTGTTATTAGATCGTAAATGTTTCCTCATGGGTTCTAAAGCTGGACTTAGATCATTTTCTAAATAATTGCAAAATCTTCGACATATTTGAAGAATATAATCATTGGGGAGATTAAAATGACCAGCTTGAAAATTAGCATCCTAGATAAGAAAAAATAAACAATACAAAATTTAAAATATCAGTTAGAGGGGGAGCCCAATATAAGTTTATTTTTTTAAGCGTGATCAAAAAAAAAATATATTTGCCCCTTCCTTTTCCTAACACTTTTATATTCTTATAAATTTTTTAATTGATTAAATTGCAATTTAAAACATAAGAAATTATAAAATATAGACGTTAACATAAAAATAAATATTTATAAATTAGATGGCATTAAATATTTATTAGTACAAACATAAAATATAATTTTTTTTTTGAATAATGTGTATTGGCAGTTATAATTAATAAAGATAATTCTCTGCTATAAATCTTATGAAACTATTTTATAAGCTATATATTTCCAAAATATTAATTATCGAGTTTGAAAGAAAAGTGAATTCTTATAATATTGTAATGTAACTCTTCCAATTCCAACTTTTTTAATAAAAAGTTTACCAAATTGTAAATAGTATAAATATTATTAAATTTTTGCATGTTTTCAGTGAAATTTATGATATACAAATCGGTACAGAAATTCAGAATTAGATGACACACTTAAACCTGACGCAAAAAAAGATCATCGACCATAAAATCCGATGATGATCGCTCTCTTAATTTAAAAAATTTATAATTTAATACAAAGTCACCATTTTTTTGGTCAAATCATATTTTGATGCTCACCTTATCGACAGCGGCAATAAATTTAGACAAGTTGGCATTTAAATATCTATCAAAATATTTCAAGGACCAAAAGTTAACACAACGAATTCAAGATATTTGGAAAAAATTTGGAATATTAGCTTTTAATCTATCACAATAATCCCAAAAACGATTCAAATTCTAAACTAAGGAAATAACTACAAAATAAAGTTCAAACAATATATTGTATTTACATTTTTTAAATTAATTTATTTTGTTATAAATAGCTATAAACATTAATTCTTCTGTAAATAATCGTTTTATATTAACTTGTTATAAATAAGCGGTTTGATATCAAGTCATAGCAGACGAATAAATAATGCTATAAAACCATTTAAAATAGCATAATTTTTTTTATAAATATGATTCAGTAAAAAAAAATTTATTTCCAACATCATATTCTAAATTTAACTAAAAACACTATGAAAAATTATATATTCCTTTATACTAAGGGATAAATTCTATTATAAAAGTAATAAAAATTGAATATATATTTAATGATTTACCTCTGTAGGAATAGGGGTTGATTCATTTTTCAAATATCTTTGGATTAATATAATCAATTCTAAATATTTCAGAAATGTTTTTTTTATAGAAAGATAAAGTTTATAGAATATGAGTAATTCATCTTATATATATACCTTGTTCTAAATTAGAATTTATTGATTTTATGTTAATTTTATCATTCATAGTTTTTAAAACAATAACTGGAACAAGCAGACGCAAGATAATTAAATAATCGACGCCATTTTTTGTTTATTATTTTTTTATAAAGCGCAAAAATTATTCCGCGTAAAAAAAAATTTTTTATAAATAAAAATCATATGTTTATTTTCTATCGCGCAAAACAACAATTTTATTTTAAAATAAATTTAGTTACATATTATAGCGTTTATTTTATACTGTATTTTTATAAAATCATGAACCTACCAATAATTTTTTTGGCATTTTAATATGCATTGAATATTTAGATCCATACAATTCATTCACAGCAGTATAAGATTTGCAATCTAATTTTTAAATAGTTTAAAGTTTTTTATAAACGGGTTATATCATTAAATTATTTTTTTGGCTTCCCCTTCCTTTATAGGCATGCTTACTAAAGTTTTCTAACAAAAAACTTACTATAGTATCCATTGGTCTATCAGACTATAAGAATCCATAGTCTTGTAATTATAATTTAAGGCAATAACTCCTTACAAAATTTTATTAACTTATAACAAATCCATGGGTAAGATGCTCAAATAAACAAAAACATAAGAGAACAATCTAGACAGAAAAATAATTACTATATACCCCATAGTAACACTTATTTCACTATGACTCACAAGTAGTGAGAATAACATGATCAAAATTTACTCCCCTATAGCAAAAAGACCAGAATATGATTCCCCCTCCATTATCATCTCATCCAATGAACAGATCAAAAAGGATACTTATAAATAAATTTATTTATTGAGGATTTAAAGCCCTCAAATTCATAACTTATTACTGCCAATCCTAACAAAAAAATGAATCTTATAATTAACTTATAAGAAACAGCTTGTCTTGCTACCCATATTCCCCCTAATATAAAAAATTCCAAGTTACTCACCCACCCCCTATAATTAGTGTTGTTAAACGGCTCGTTTTGAGCCCATTTTTAAAAACGGCTAATTCACTATATCATCCAGAATAATATAACTCAAGCCTGACAATTTTGTTTGTAGAAGGAACAAAGGCTTGGACATCTATTAGCAAAATCTCAAGGCTTACCTATAATTAAAAAATATTCTCTCACCCCTATTAATATAATTAATACTTGTAGGGAAAAATTATTAGAGTGAAAAATACTCGAAAAGGACCAAATAGAGTCCTAGTGATAGGGCTGGTGCAGCCATTCATAGACACCATCAAGTATAAGTATACATAAACACACCCCTGGAAAAAACAATTATTTTTCCATAAAAAAGCTATAAGTTAATCTGGTATTTCATCAACCTAATAGTGTACCTCCCCTAGCAAAATTCTGGCTAAGTCAATGCTCTCATAACATTTAAATTTACATTTTCTCTCATGTTATATTCATAACTATTCTAATTTAATAGGTTATGATCATTATTAAAAAGTATTTTGTATTTAAGATAATCTCATTTGGATACTAGTATCTAGACTTCTTTTTTACAAAAAATTTATAGACTTTTTTTAGGATCTGTCCAACTCTGGGTGTAAACTTTTTTTTATCTTAATAATATACATAAAGTGCCTCCCTACACAATTTCTTTAAAAATCTGACTTAAAAATTAATAAAATATATAGTTCTATCTAATTTTTATAATCCTATTATATTTAAACTTGTATCTTTGAAAATAATTTATTAATTTTTTTCAATTTGGGTATATAAGAAACTAATGCAATTTTATCATATTATATTTCAACTAGATCTTTAATCTGGGTTTCTGATAAATATAGCCATTTTTTCTTTTGAATATTTTGGTAAAGGTTGATTTTAAAAATATTAAATAAATTTGCATATAACAATGAACAAAATTTGGCACCACTTTCACTCCCATGTTGATGGTATGCCTGAACATGCTCTTTAGGTGGTTGAGGTTATTAAGAGATATTTTTAGTGTATTCTTGTATTGACACTGGGCAATTTACTGTTATCATTACCAAATTTTTCTTTCAATTGGAACAATATTTGATATAGCTTGAAAATTATTAATAAATATTACTGATCTATTATTTTGTAATTTCTACTTCTTTAATTCAAAATATTTGTTATTTGAATCTTGTCTAAGGTGTTTAAAATTATTGTTTTTTAAGTCTGTTTGAAACTTCTTTTTTTTTGGTTTTGGAAACATCATAAGGCAAAAATACAATTTATATTACAATATCAATTATAAAAATAATAAATATATCCAAACTTCAAAATTTTAGGTTATAAAAATGCCTTTCAATGTTAATGAAATTTATTTACATAGTTTTTTATATTGCTTGTTCAATCTCTAAAGTTAATTTTAAAATAAAAATTGATAATATATGGCATAATGCAGACCATATTTTTCTTAATTGCTAAGGTTTAATTAATAATCTGGGTAGCAGTTTAAAATAAAAATATAAAATTGATTTTAGGTAAGGTCTATTTAGAGAATTCAATTACGCATTCTATTTTTATTAAAATATTTTTAGACGGTACATAGATGAGTATGCAAAGGGCAAGTTTTATAAAATTAAACATTGGATGGATGGGTTAAAAAAATTTAGCAGAGCAAGCCGATATTTAATAAAAATTATTTTTTATTATATAATGTTGCATGTTATGTCTAATAAGTGTAAAAATATATTAAAATAAACACCCAAATGCCAACTAGTGTTGTTTAAGTTATTTCTTTAAAGTAACTTGTTAGGAAAAAAATTAACACCACCTTTTTTTTATCGGTTTAAGGTTTATAAATGATTTTTTTTAAAATTGATGACAGTGAATTATCCTTTTTAAGTATTTTCCACTGGCATCAGGTAAAATATAATGTCACTAGAATATTATAAGTATAGACCTAGCATCTCTGATATAAATTATATTAATTAAATAATTTTAAAATACTACTCATACTTTAAAAGAAGGTAAATAACAATTAATTAGGATCATATTTAAAAATTAGCTAAGTTTTAACATCCGGTGATGTTAAACAGCTCGATTTTTTAAAACCCCTGGTCCAATATTTTACCCAAAAAATATTACAAACCTTGGAGATTTTCCTCATAGATGGCAGAAAGATTTAGACATCTATTGACAAAATTTTGAGGCTTGCATAAGGTTATTTTGGCTAAAATATAATTTGTTTAACAACATGAGCTTTGACTAAATATAAGCAGCCATTTTAATAAGTTGAAAAAAATATACATACATTTGAGAAGCAAATTGAAAATTTCTTCTTTTTAAATAAATAAAGAGAAAAGAAAGTAATTTTATGTTTAAAATGTTGGGGGAAAAAGTAATAATATTTTTAAATAAATTGGAAAAAAGGAAAAAAATTTTTTTTAATTACCACCCATTTTTAAAACAATAATTAAGAATGAATTGTATTCAAAACATCATTTAGTACAAGAAATTTTGTTATGAAGAAATTGATTATCAAAAAAAAGAGAACTGGTAGACTATAATAGCCAGTAGATCTAGATGTCATATTATATACATTCAAAGTTTACTCAAATTCAATAAAATAATTTATACATTTAAGATGTATAATAATTTCTCATAATAATCCTTGAATGTCCTTTTTTTTAAAATAATATTATAATCTCATTTATTACATAAATCAACTCCAAATTTGCAAAATTTAGAAAATCAATAAAGGCTTTTTGTTTTTTTCTAATTTTGCATCCAACAACCGTAAGTGTTGTAGAGTTTCTCATCTTTAAGAATAATAACCCCACCTCTACTATTAATTTTAAAAAATCTATTCATATTGTTATTGTCCAAACAAGTCATTTTATATCAATTCTTATATATTAAATTTTTAATGTAAGCTATAATTATATAAATAATAATTTAAAGCATCACATTATTTAACGATTTTCGATTTAGCTTTATAATTAAAATATCATTCAGTGTATCCTTATATAATTCTGTCCTTAGAGAAGTTAGTGCGAATGCACTAAATGCTCTCTCAACTGAAATCTAGTAGCAAGGAGCGGCGAGAATTACCTGAGACAGTTTAAATATTTCTGTATTTTGATGTTTTCTTGAAAGCCAATATTTTAAATATCTTGGTTAGATGGCAGTCTTTTGTTGTATAATAGAGATTTTATTTTAAGCTTGATATCGCTATTCCCCAGTGCATATTAAACAGGCCCCTTTTTCAATCTCGCTAGATGTAGCTGTCAATTGAGATTTTTTATAATTCTTTATGGGAGGCAAAATAAATGGAGTTTCTTTGTAAGTCAACGACTTGCAAGTGTTTCCAGGCTTTATTAATTTACCCTGTTCAATATTTTAACGAGGGATATTTTTCATTTTTTCAATGGAGATATATATATACATATAGCGCCTCTAAAAGCATCATTTTGAAATATAAAGCTTTCTCGTATGTTCAAACATTCTATCATATTTTTAGATAACTCATTATCCATACCTTCTAACTACTTTTTACATTCTAACCAAGATGCAAAAAAATCACCAATTGCTATATCTTTAATATGCATAATAACAGCAAAGGACAGAAGTGCTCAATGTGATTGTATCCCATAAATCTGAACTAATTAAAGTTTCTGGTTTGAGCTGAGCTTCTAACACATCTTAGACAAAAGTCTTTACTAATGTTGTCTAATATATTTTCCGTACTATCATAATAGATGTCAATACCCTCTGGTATTTCTTCATTAGAGTAAACTGGGATTTTTCATCATAATTACATAAATTTTCCTGACCATTTACACTTGTCAAAAAATATTTGGCTCAAATTGTTTTCATTAGAATTAGATAAATCATTATTTAATTGATCTCCAGCCATAATGTCAACCATTTTAAGCAAATTGGCGCCGTTATCCACGGTGATACCATATATTTGTTTTGAATCAAGTTGGTATTTTTTTTTAATTGTTCGGATTTCCTCCTTTAGGTTAACAAATATATGAATTTTTATTAGTTCTATCATTCATAGTGTTCTCACTTCTATCTGGCCATCTTTTATATATTTTAATATCTAATATTGATCTATTATATCTAGCAGCTGTATCAATTTTGAAAGAAATTTGCTTGTTTTTTAATTCATGCATAATTTGAAGTCTAATTTCGGATGCTGTATATATTTCGTCGACCAATGATCTAGTATTTATTTTCATTTGTAGAGAATGACAGAGGA